GCATTTCCTCATTTGGGTCTTTAAACTTAGAATTTATATACTCATTTATAGCATTATACTTCAAAACTCTTCTTTGGTACTTCTTTATCCAATCTAACAACTCAGTATCCTTTATACATACTAACTTAGACTTCTTTTAATATCTTTGAACGAATTGACGGTTTGGTCAAATTGACCAGAAGTCGAACAAATGACTACTAACTCATAGAATGGGTTCTTCTCATCTAGTTCTTGTTGTTGTGCAGCCATTTTAAGATAAGTGAAAGTCTTACCAGACCCAGGTGGTGCAATTAGACCTGTTATACCATTCTGAGCAAATAAGAACTTGTCATGTATAGGCTTTATCTGAGCATTTTCTAACTTCCTCTTGTTCTTATTTAAAACATTCTCAAATTTCTTGTCAATGTCAGCAAACTTTTTTTCTAACATATTTTTAGAAAAATTAAAATTTTTATCTTTTAGAAAATGTCTAGCGATTTCGCTATCTATATTCGAGACAAGCTTTTCGACAGCAAAACATCTGTCGACCATAAAATCTTACATAGTGTAAACAAGAAAGGTGAATTTGTTCTAAAGTTCTGTTTCTGGGAATATGACAAGAACCATAAAACATTACAAAGAGCAGTCTTAAAATTTGTCAATGACAGACTTGTTGACAGAGATGACGCCGATTGGAAAGATGAAGTCCAACAAAAGTTCTTAGAATGCAAAGAAGACACATGCGCTGTTCTTGAAGATGAAATAGAAAACAGAATAGATGAGCTATTAAAGGACAAAGAACGTTTACATAGATATGGTTCTGAGAAATTTGACATATCTCCACCAGAGAAGAAGAAGAAAGAAAAGAAAGAGAAAAAAGTAGAAGAGAAGAAAGAACCTGAACCAGTTCCAGAGAAGGGGAGATATGACATGTAAAAATAAAATTTTATTTTTAGAACATTTCTGGGTCAATGTCAATGTTCTCTTCCTCTTTAGGAGTAAACACTGGCTTAGACTCTAAAATCTTTTTACCCAATTTACCTTGAACTTCTACAACTTTAGACTCATAATATTCATAGTCGTCTGTCTTCTTTGGTTCATAAGGTATAACAAGTTTGTATGCTTTGCCTTCTTCGAGTTTTGAGAACTTTCTGTCAAAATTTTCTTTGACTGTTAACAAACCTTCTATGTCTAAGTCTTCAAATTTCGCACCATTTTTAGTCACAATAGCAAACTTAACTGGTTCGATGTTCCAAACTTTGCTGAATGAAGACTTTTCAAAATGGTAGAAGTAAACATTCAAATATGTGAATGGGTCTAGTTCTTCTTTAAGTCCTGACATGTACTTGTTTACTGAGATGAATTTCGTCATCTTTTCTATCGGATAAAAAAATATTTTTTTTAAATTTACTCAGAAAAATTTTCTTTGTATATACACCATTCTGAACATCTAAAAGACTTTTGACATTTGCCAAGAATGTACGTTTAGAAGCTGCCATATAACCATATTCTTGACAATATTGTTTATACGAATCGTACAATGACCTTTCATCTAAACACTCAAAGTCGCTTTCTTCTATGAACAGTTCATAAACACTCTTGTTTGCTTCTAACAATGTTTGTCGCTCTTCGGTATGTGGAATTTGTCTTGGATTGAACTTAGAAATATCTAATGTCATGAAATATGAGAACAAGTGGTTGTAAAAGTCAGATGTCAAAGTTTCTGCTAAGTCGTCAAAATATTCTGTATCTTGCATATGAGAATCTGACGTTCTGACAACTACATATCTTCTGTCAGAACTTTCTAACTTCATCGGAACACATTGTTTGAAACCATAATGAAGTTTGCAACATTTTCACAAACTCTTTGGTCTTTATACTTTCTTTCAACAACTCCAACTTTGTCTGTTATAAGACTCTTCAAAGCATCTGAGTTCAAAACTTTTGTTGTATCTATACTTTGAAGTTCATTGCAAACTATAAGTTTCATATTCTCTATTGAGGAGTTAAACTTGCCACAGATGTTTTCTAAGTTTGTCATATTCGGATTCGAATAACCTCTAACAGTTTGCACAAAATATCTGTAAAGAAATGTATTCTTACCTGTTCCTTGTTTTCCAATTATAATGAGAGCAGTTTCATTTTTAGCACTTGGATGTTGTAAGATATTTGCAAACCAACATAAGATATACTCATAGACTCTTTCGTTTCCATTGCATATAATTTCTTTGACATGGTCTAACCAAGCTTCTATAATACTTGTTTCCATTCTACTTGTTCGTATTTATATCCAAGTGAAGATAGAATAGAAGTTTGGAGAAGGTGTATAGAACTTTATACCTCGAACTGAAAAATCTTCTAACTTTGACAATAAGATATCCCAAGCATCTAACATCTTCATTCCAACTTGTACAACTTTTATTTTCTTAAGTTTCTGTCTACATTCTTGTTCAAACTATTGTTGCTCTTGGTTTGTTAAAGACAACATCCCATTCTTTCATGACATAACATTCTGGGGCAGAGTCAACATAAATGACTAAACGTTTCAAATTCTCGACTGCTTTGTTATAGTCTCTAAATGGACACATATTTCTGAATGCTTGGAAGTCATAAAAATCTGAAACATCTATTCTGTACATTTTTATAAAAATAAAAAAAATATTATTTTTTTATTCTTGACTTTGTTGTTCCATTTGTTGCATTTGTTGTTCTTGAGCTATTTGTTGTTGAAGTTGTTCTTGTAATACAATACTTTCACCAGTTGCATCTTCCAATTCGAAACTTTCTGCCGTCATTGACAAATACATAGGACATAAAAGTTTTACAGGAACAAAGTTTGCGTCAACTAATGTCAACGTTATACTTGCCAAAGTGTTTGAGTTCACTAAGGTTGAAAATTCTGCATTCGAATGAACAATAGGCAAACCAGCAGAGAAAGTATTGTTTATACGCATAAGTATCTTTTGGTCATAATAGTTTCTGTCGACATTCGAATAACACTTTGAACCTAAGTTTGAAACAATATATAAGATTGGTGTGCTTAATGTCAATGGAATAGACATTCCTTGTATGACACCTTTTCCTGTTATAGGAAACTGTTGGTAGTAAAAACCAGAAATAAGTTTTGTATTATAGCTCATATCGTTTATAGTAAACTCAGTCGGACATCCAAACATAATGAAACCTGCTCTAGTTGCAGCACATGTTACACCGTACTTAAAGTATTAAATAAGTCAACAAAACCTGTTGGTGTATATCTGAGTAAGTATCTTCAAAGGAGTATTTTTTACCATTCACAACAATAAAGTCTTCTGGTGTCAAAAGAGCAAAACAGGCTTTAGTCGTCATTGTGTTTAAGGTTAGTTTACAATATCGTCCTTGAGGACTTTGTAAGTTTGTTGTTATAGAATTATATGACTCATGGTTTTTAGTCGTAATAGTATAAACCATTATGTCTTCTGCCATTTACTTAGCAAATAAACTTTAATGAAATGTTGTGGTCGTCAATTTTTATAACGTCTGGGAAACTATATTTTAAGTTCAACGTTTCACCTCCTTTCATAACGTATATCTTGTCAATGGCATTATATGAAACACCACAGCAACTAATGTCGGGTTCTATTTCTTTGATGTTTATATCGTCTGCCTCTGTCAAAAGTTTCAATAGTTCTTTCAAAACTTCATGAGGTGCAATGACATATGAGTTCACTTTTACAGGGTTGTGTTCGACCAAGTTTAACATTATACTTAAAGCTTGACAAATCTTCTCCTGAGTTTGAAGTTTGTCTTTCAGTTGTTGGTAGTCATTTCGAATATCTGCAACAGAACTTAAGTCTCTGTTAACTTCAGGATATGTTGGTTCTTTTACAGGAACAATTGTTATACCATCTTCGTCTTCGTATGGTTTCCCCACTTCAACATCTCTGTCTTTGACATTGACAATAACACTTTGACTGTTTGTTGAGTTGGTGAATTTAACTTCACATCTGCCACCGCCATTAAACCTTTTGAAACACTTACGCTTCTATTTTTCGGAAATGACATTTTACTTAGAATAAAAAGATGGACGTATTCGGATATCTTATTGAATTGAAGCAGAACAAAGTTTATACTCACAAACAATACAAATACATTGACAGAATAGTTCTTTACACAAACAATGGAAAATGTTATAGAATAGCAGTCTTTGCTGAACCTAAATATTTTCATAAAGCAAAGAAAGTTGGTATAACTGAAATGGTGAAAGTTCTTGAAGCAGACAAAAATATAACAACTTACAGATATTACTAAAGGAAGTTTATCTTACAATATTATGTCAAAACTGGCGTACTGTCAATATTTGACGGAGAGAAGTCAGTTCAAGAACAACTTACTGACCTGCTGCCAAAATCTGCTCGATGGAAGCTGTCGTTATGCCAATCTGAGGAGCCCCAGCAGGTTTCATCGAACGAATCTTCAAAAGAGCATCTTCCGTGAAAAGTGCTATTGGTTTTGTAAACTTCTTTGCTCTCAATTCATCTGGACCGTCTCTGTCACCAGTATATTGTATTTGAACTGTACCAACAGTTGAAATACCACCCATAAAGTCTTCTGAGTCAGCAAATGGAATGCCAAGCCAAAAGTTTGAACGGTCTCCATTTGTATATTGAGTTTTTTGACCTCCTGTATGAGTCCATACTTTCACATATGGCATAATAGAACTTTGCATTTCAGGGTTAATGGTTGTTGTGAAGTTGTTGTTAAAGTTCATAGCATCTAATGTCAAGTTGTATGACCTCATATCCTCAACTGTAGAATATTCTTCTCTTGGATAATATTTGCCATCTATGTTTATATGATATTTAATACCAGGGTTGTAGAAACAAGAATAGTCATTTATAGTTCGTCTGAACAGTACAAACATAGTATCTGCATGTTTCATTGCAGTTGTTAAAGCAATATCTGTTCTTGCACCTGGGTCAGCACTTTGGTTTCCAACTTCACCTGCAAAGTCTTTGACAGATATTTGGTGTATAGGGAACATAAGTGGAACTGCAATATATTTGGCAGCTAAAGCATTTGAAATATCTGGGTCCAACATATAGACTGCAAGTCTGCTTTCTATTCTCTTGCATTCAAACTTTTCGCATGTGAACTTAACTGGGTCCCAAGCAGTTCCAGCAGCATTGAAATAATAGTTTACTTCATTGTTGAAGTTTGAGAAACCAAAGTCTAAGTCAACTTTGTCTTTGCAAAATTCGGCGAATGACGTTTGATTTGTTCCCTTTACGTCTGTAATAGTGAATGGGTCTTGTGTTGGTGCAATGACTAAGTTATTTTTGCTTGGAGTAAGTTCGATAGAAATTTTTCCTGCCCAGTTTGGCAAGTATCTTAAAAACCTGAAGATGAGGAAAGATGACAAAGGAACTCTAAGTTTCAGTTTTACTTTAGTGGCAGCAGTTCCATCTGAACCAGAAAGGTTAACATAAACTCCTGGAACGTTAGGGTCAAGTCTTCTTATTTTCTCAATAGTTGCATACTGGTCTGTTTGTTCTCTAGCTTGTGGTTGTACTGAGTTTCTCAAAGCGAACCATTCATAGTTTGCCCATGTTACTGTTTGAACTAAGTCAGAGTTAGAATATATCTTATATCCCATGAAAACTTCTGGAGCATATTGGTATCCGACATAGAAAATTCCATTGCAACCTTTCTTGTCAGACAACTTGGCAGAAGGTTTTATTTCAATGTCTTGTTCCACGTATAAGAATGAGTTGTCAATAGAAATAATATGAAACCTGTCGCAAGCAATATCTACTGTTGTTGAAGAACCTTCTCCAAACTCACCTACGTTTCCATAAGAAACAGCAGTTGTATATTCGTAAGTTCCAGGAACTATTTCTGACCTTCTAATGGCATTGTCGCATTCGTTATACCATTCGGAAACATTTCCGTTCATGGCATCCAAAACTGTTGGCGTTATATTCTGAGCGGCGTACATTTCATATGGGTAAAAATATAGAATAGTTGGATTTATGTCATAATAGAACCCACTCGGACCAAGCTTTACTTTCTTCCTGACTGAGTTTTTAACTCTTCTTTTTCCTTCATTGCCACTACTTTCACTAGATGAAGTTACTTCTTCACTACTTTCACTTTGTTCTACTCTTCTCTTCTTCTTTGGTGTCGCTTTTGGTAACTTGCCCTCTGCTTCAAGTTGTTGCATCTTTGCCTCATGTTCACCTAGTATGTTGTAAATTTCCCATGTCCTTTTTGCCTTTGGGCTCTGGTCGCCCATCTCAGGTAACCTATATCCTAGAAAGATTTTGTCATAGTTTGTATTTGAGTCTTCGCGTATTGTTTGCATGACTCTTTCCTGAGTTTCCGGTTCAAGCTCTTCAAACAGAGCTTGTCCATATGGAATAAGCTCGTTTCCAAATATATGTTTTTGTAGCCATTCTGGTTTTCTTTCCATGTTACCAATAATATCTTTTGTGAATGGGAAAGCTTTTACCCAATGTTTCAGTCTTGCGTCATTTATTTCTGTAGTTGGTTTTATTTTGTCAAGGAACATGTTTTTCAATACTAACATTTCATTTGGTACTGTCCATTTGAGTTTTCTTAAATATTCATCCCTTCTCAGTTCATTGTCTGCAAAGTAAGTTTTTATGACATTTTGCAAACTTTCGTTTGCAAGGTCATGTACAATAGGTTCTCTTCCTTCTCTCTCCCTAACTTTCTTTCTAAACTCTTCACCAAATATACCATCTCTATGGTTCTGTGTAGTTCTTTGAGATAAATGTTCTAGAACGTCAGGTGTTATATTTCCATCAGCCATGTTCATTTCATACTGGTCCAAAATATCTGCATGTTTCATATCTTTCAATGGCATTAAAGCCGCGCTGAAAATACCAGCTATATCTGGTTCACCATTCACTTCCATTGCGTCTACAACTTCTTGGAATTGAGGTTGTAAGTTTATGAACCACCTATCCGGATTAGCTTTATGACCCCATCTCATTGTAGTTCCATAGTCTGCAGAAACAAAAGTAGGTTTGTTTCCATATTGGTTAGGTTCTGAATGAACTTTAAACAATGTTTCATTTCTATATGTTTTGTTGAAATTTAACCTTTTATTTTCACCGAGTTCAGCCAAAGATTGAACGTTATATGGTCGTAAGTAAAAAGGATTATTGTATTTGCGTACATTTTCTTTCAGTACTTCCATTCTATGCTGAATATTTTCATCTGATGTTGGAGTCTTTTGTATGTCGGCGAACATTTTTCGATATTCTTCTACTATGTCAGCCGAATTTTTCTTAGACTCTTGGAAAGATTCCATATTCTCCGCATACTCTTGTTGAGGGTCAAGATTTTTCGGCTGTTCCAAATCTTCATCTAGTTCTGTGAAGTTAGTTTCCAAAGGAGGGACTTGTTCGTTTCCTTCAGGCTCTTCTAGCTGTTGTTGCTGAACTATTTCTTCCATGTCTGGTTGTATCTGAACTTCTTCCTGTGGAGTTTCTTGTACCTCATCTGCTGGCATTTCATATATTCCGAGACCGTTTTTAACAAGTTCCCTATCTAAGTCATCCGGACTCATAAACCTTTCTTCTTTCGTTCCGTCTCTATTTTTTACGCGTTTCATGAAGAGAGTTGAATTATCATTTAGCTCTGACACAAATATCTCGGAGTAAATTCATTCATGTCATTTGGATGATATGCTATTAAATCATATCCCTTAGCGAGCTTGTATTTTCCAGGTTTGAGATTATATCCCATTTGGTGCTGAACCATAAAGCTAAATAGGTTCGGGTCAGTATTTCCTTCCTTGAACTTTCTAATAGCTTCTTTATATCTGTCACTAAAGTCAAGAGTATCTGGGTAACCATAATCTTCCTTAAGCATTTTTAAGAATTCTTGGTTTCCTTTTCTCTACTTCTTTTATGTCCTTGCTCTGTTTGTGGTTGTTGTGCTGGTTGTGAGGTGTTGTTGTGCAGGTTTTGAACTGTTGGTTGTGTGCTGTTTTGAACTGTTGGTTTTGTTGTTGTGGTGCTGGATTTTGAACTGTTGGTTGTTGTTGTGGTGCATGCCTGTGTCTGTGTCCATGTGACGATGTAAATGTTTTAGGTAGTCCTGGTGCAGGTGCTTCTCTTGGAGGGTTTGGTGGTATATAAGTTCCACCAGCTGGCACATATGTTCCATCTGCAGCATAATGTCCTACCTGACTTTTCGTTTTTAAGAAAGCATTTACTAGGTCTGTTTTGGTCTGTTGTAACTCTTTTTCTTGACTTTCCACAACAGTTGCTCTAACGGCGTCATAGGCACTTTGAACTGCCTGTCTCGTTGCTGCATCTGTTATTTTCGTCATATTTTGTGCTACTTCTCTTAACTCTTTGTCGAAACCTTCAGACTTCAGTTTCTTTCCAGATGAGAAGTCGTTCACTAGTTTCACCTTACTATGAAGAGCTTCGAAGGCATTCTTAAAGTCAGCATTCATTAAAGCTTCATTTGAACTGTCTTCATCCGCTTGTATTTTTGTCCTTATTGACCCTATAAGTTGGGCTGCTTTAGCGTTGGCTTGGGCATCTAACCAGTCATTATTAGCTTTTATATATTCTGCGCTTTTCATTGCCTTTTGCATGGCTGCGTCGTTATTTTTACTTTCTTGTGCTAAGTTTTCATACTGTACGGTTTGGTTTTGCAACTGTAAAAGTTTTTCTGCCTTTACATTTGCTTCAACTTCTTTTTTATACTCATCGCTATCCATATATGTCTTCAGGCTTTTTGTTTTATCTCTTCATCTTTCAGTACTTTATATTGAGTAGTATGGTTTTTCAAATTTATAACATCTTGTTCCATTTTTGCTACTTCTGCTGCTTTTTCTGACACTTTTTTCGCATATTCCTCTGTACTTAGTTCTTTCAGTTGTTCTTCTTTCTTCTTTTTCTCTACGTTTAACTCATTGAGTTTCTTTGTGTGTCTGTCATATTCTAGTTTCTTTTCGTTTTCACTTATTTGTTTCTGTATGTCTATGTTTGACTTTTTGACATCTGTTATTTGATTTTTGAGTGAACTCAAATTCATTTGACTTTGAGGGTTATAAGCTGTTCCGTCTGCAGCTCCACCATAGCCTGCCATTTTCGCTAAAAGTGCCGCTCTTAAACCTCCACTCTGTGCACCAATAACTCGGTTTAAAAGCATAGGGTTGCTTGACATTTGTTGCAACATAGTGGGGTCATTCATCATTTGTTGTTGCAACTGTTGTTGTGGTGTCAGTTTTACTATTGGATGTTTCAATGCTCCCTTCCTCTTACGTATATTCTTACGTAGCTTACGTGGCATTTTAAGTGAAGTTAAAAAGCGGTTTTTGACAGATGTTTATATGACACTTTTTGTTCAGCACAAAAAACTACTCGGTCAAAGTGTTGTCAGTTTTGTAAAATAACCGTCCTATCTCATTTTAAGGAAAAGGCTTCTCAAAGTATACTTCCTTGGAACGCCTGTAACTTTTCCTGTAGCGACGATAGACCCTTACTTGTCCGGACAAAGTTATACTATTTTGAGTGCTCTACAAAAAAGTCAACGGCGACGACTCTCAAAAACCGTTGTGTAAAAAGTTTTACCGTTGGACAAAAAAGTATATATAGAAAACAAAAAACGTTTATAGTTCATTCAATATTTGAGATAACGTTTTCCAACGGTAACTATTAAATAAAATAAAAAATAGAGGGGTCTCCGTTGACGAAAACGGTTTATTCAAACTTTTCTATGAGTGGTCCGAAAAAAACAGTTCATTTTTCATAATGGAAGGAAGAAAAGTGTCGCAAACAATTCGTCGACTACCTCTGCAGTTAAAGTTCCTACAACTTATGTCTCACCATTCTCAAAACCCTTACGACCTCCTATAATACCAAAGCAACCTCCTCATACAATTCAAGACAAATTGTCCAACAATTTGAGTTCTTCTTCTTCTCAAAACACAACAGAAACATCTGAAACAGTTGTCCAAACAGCACCAGAACAAGTTTCACATAGTTTACAATTCAAGACAAATTGTCCAACAATTTGAGTTCTTCTTCTTCTCAAAAACAACAGAAACATCTGAAACAGATTACAACCAATAGAACAAGATATAGTCTCTCAAACTACAAGTATGTTAACAAGAGCACAATTTCAAGATTTAATTTCTCTTGAACAATATTCGAGTAACGAAACACAAAGCGACGACTGTAACCTCTCGCTACCCGAATCCATTCAAAGAAAATACGCCATGAAAAGACTGAAATTGTTGTATAAACTTCTTAACAATTGGGGGGTCGAAGACAACTCAGATTATAGTGAAATGTTTAACAAAGTCATAGAATCTCTTAAACCAATTGAAAACGACATAAAAAATCCCGGTGTTCTTGTAGACCTTTTCGCCTCAAAATTACCAGTTACAACTAATCTAATAGCAACACAAGCTATAGAGCAATTTATTTTATGTTTTCCCAAGCAATATAGACAACACCTGAGGGAAACAAGAATAGGAAAATTTCAATTGGTGTATCCTACAACATACAACTATTACGAAGAAGCAAATGAATATGGAGAACTCTCATTCCATTTCACACTTTCAGTTCCTGAGGGAGAAGAAAAAGCAATCTATCATGTACAATCTCTTGCAGGATGTGAAGGAAAACCTCACATAATAACTACTGTTGCAATTGAGAAACCTGCAAGAGTCGAAGACGATGTTTTGTTCGCGTCCATTGCTGGTTTTGGCATGGGAGAGCCAATTCCAATTTCCCATTTCACAGAATACTCAGCACAACATTTTCAAAATGTAGAATTCGTGTTCTACGACCATCAAAAGTTCCTGCTAACAAAACCAAAGAAACAATTTGTCTCAATATTTGTTGCTGATCATGTGGCTGACAAAGAGCCATCAGATACTGACTATGAAGAAGAGGAGGAGGAAGAAGAAAACGATAGCGATGTCGTTCTTATCGAATAAAAACTTTAATTTTTTACTATATAATTTTTTTAGTTCTCCTCTAGGTTTTCTTATGGGCTAGAGGGCACGAAGTGCCTGGAAGCCCCACTTACCTGACCTAATATAGGATGCTAATTTACTGTGAATTCATAATGTAAAAAGTGTGGGTGTTGTCCTCTATATATACTGTCTTAATTCTATCGGCGCGAAGCGCTGATAGAATTAAATGACTAGTCAATCTGTTGTTTTAATATCGTTTTAAATTTTTTATGCCAAAATAGTACTCTGGCTATCATTGGTAATACGTAAGGTTGCTACTGTTGTAATATTTCGAAAAAATAAAGGTATCAACTTTAATGCAAGATATGATGAGTTGAACATCGAATAATTGGGTTTTTGTAATATTAACATTCTTTAGTCCCTAGTATATTATTGTTTCATACTAATAATGTGGATCAATTCCGCTTCAATGATCAGATAAAGCAGAAACAATACACTCAGGTGCCACTTTTTTTGGTCTAAAAAATGAGTTCCCCCCTTTTGTCAGTCTCAATTTTTAAAAAAGCGGTGAATGTGTCGCGAGCTTGAAGGCTAAAACGGCAAATACTGAACTTTTTTAAAATTTGATTGGACAAATAAATTATACATTATATCAGCATTCTAAAACAATTAATAAAATCGAGTTTGGAAAATCCAAAATTTCAAGAAAAGTGACAAAAAGTGCCAAATTGCCAGTATATGAAATTTTAATGTTACCAGAATTCACATACCATACATAGTCTAATATTCATAATATAAATGAATTTTATTGACATCAATAAATTTGAATCATAGAGTTGATAAATATTAATAAGTTAATACTAATATACATACAAATGTGAATCAAGATATATTAAAATTATCGAGTTTTAATTTTTGAGTTTTGAATCTCCCGAATTTCCCATACAAACATATATTAATTTTATAAAATATAGAAATAAAATCAGATTCTACAATGCTTTTTGAAATGTGTCCAGGTGTTTGTATATATATATACACGTTTATTTCTATCGGCGCGCGGAGCGCGCCGATAGAAATGAATAACAAGGCTGTCATGCACCAGTGTGTTATAACAGATCGATTTTATTTGAAATTTCATAAATTAATAATTATAATAAATTTGATATTCAGAGACGGCGCTACGCGCCTTTTAGCATTCTGGGCACTTACGTGCCCAGAATGCAAGCTTGAGAAATTTGAAACTTCGTTTCAAATTTCTGCCTTGCAAATATGCAAAAAGAAAGTCAAGAAAAAAAAATTTTTGAAATTGAGAATAAAAATAATATCGTGATTTTTTGTGATATATGGATTTTTAGAAGATTTTAGAGATTAAAGTCTCAATTTATAAAAATTTTTTAAATTGAGAGGAATTTTAATGATATTATTTTATTTGATATTTGAATTTTTTAGATGATTTTAGAGATGTCAGTCTCAATTTAAAAAAATTTACAAAAAATGATCGTAAAATAATCGTTTTTGTTCAAATCCTTTTCATTTCGGGAAATTGAAGTTAAATATCAAAGAGATGGTCTCTGCATATGTTAAATCAAATCATTAAAAAGTGTTTTGATGACTTTTTCTAACCGCAAATTGTCACTTTTTAATGTTTTAAAATTATTATATATCCTATATGCATATAAGATACAAATTAATATTAAAACTCCAAAATCGATTTTTGAGAGAATCAAATTTATCACATCTCATCGTTGTTCCGAATTAATATTTTATTTGTAATGTACATATTATCACAATTACATTCATCATATTAAAATTCAAAAATAATTTTTGAGTTTCAGATCTCCCTAATTTCCCATATAAATATATGTTTATTTTATTAAAAATAGAATGTCCAATTATTGATAAAAATCGATCCGCTTTTCTACCGGTCAAGCTGTATATATATAGAACCCATCCATGTAAACACGCTCCGCTCGGCCGCAAAAGTGACATTGAGGTTTACATGATGGAAAATAACAGTTCGATTCTCGCGTGTCTCACTTTTTGTAATTTTCCAATAGAAATTAAAAACCTGAATTTTCAAAGATATAATGTGTTATCATCGGATTATTCACTTTATTAGTAAATAATTTTGACTTTACTCTTATAGTTCCCTTGGAACTCGCCACAACTATGTTTTTTATAAAAATTGAATTTGATATTTTTATTGATTTCTTTAAAAATTTAGTAAAATCATTTTCTTTTTATTCAGTTATATATGAATATTGATTTATTAAAAGTTTTTGTTTCTCATATTAGAAAAAATATTGTTCAATTTACGTGAAAAAAGGAAAAAGAAGAGGAGAAAGAGAAGAAAAGAAGAAAGAAAGAGAAAAAGGGAAAAAGGAGGGAAAAGAGGAAAAAATAATAATGAGCATATTTAATATTTGGGCGCATTTGCCGAGTGCAGTGGAAAGGATGTCGCCCTTCGGGCTCCACCCTTTCCACTGCACGAGGCACGATTTTTTTTTTAAAAATTCGAAAAAGCCACTGGCTGGCACAAAGTATCAAAAATTGTGCCATTTTGCAGAAGCCTATTGTATATTTGCACTTAAAAAAGATTCATTTTCAAAGGTTGGACAATAGTACTGCATGTTGGTTTTCCAAAAAAAAATTCAAAATCTATTTTTTCAAGTTAAATATCAGATTTTTTATCTTCATTTTTATTTTTTCTATTTTTTTTTGGAATTTTCAGATGCGACATATGACAAAATGAGTATGTTAATTTTATTTAATATCGTATTGTATGATCAATTATCTGGTTAATATTAAAAAGCATTTTCAATTACAAATATCATTCCGAATAATATGCAATTTTGAAACAAATGTATTGTTTTATGATCATCGATGAGCTAAACTAGTAAAATACTTTGATAAAAATAGTATAAATCATGTTTTTAGTTTATTTATCTTCATATTAGAAGTTTAAACTCGAAATATTAAATTTGTAGTTGACTTATGAGATATCTGAATTGGTTTATGCTAAGTGTAGGATATTGTAAATTTCTATTTACGGCATTGTATTGATATAAGATTCGTTTTATGATATGACTCTAATCTACTTCTTGCTTTATACCGTTAAATGTCCAGATTTAGGAGATTTTTTTAAAGATAATTCGAGATTTTAATATAATTCAAGATTGTATTAGCCGATTATCTCTAAACTAAGTATTCTATCAGCCTATGTATAGTCTGAAACAGGAATTCTAAGCCATAGTTTTGGTTGGAAGTGAGTATCGGTACCACATATCTCCAATGGACATGAAAAATGACTTCATAACATTTATTTTCTGTATGAAGTATGACTATAAGATAGTGTATTCCATTTTTACATACTATTCATAAAGTCATCGGCTGAAATACTGATGATCATATTTGACTCGAATATTTTGAATTGTCAATTGTTCGAACTCAATAGAGTTTGATAAAGAAATTATGTTAATTTCTATTTTTACAGATTTTAGATAGGCAAGCTATGTAATTCGATACTTTTGATCATATATCTAATCATTTAATTTATTACAACAAATATCAATAAAAAGATAACAATATCTTCACTTATACTTTCCTAGTTTTAGTAATCTCGATCTCCCATACTTACGTGAAATAAATGCAGCAACAGCGCAGCCGGCTATCATCAAAATCGAAAGACTTCCAATGACAGCAGCTGCGTTATCTTTAGCCGGATTGTCATCAATTATATCTCCGAGTAACTTTCCATCAAAATTTTGAGTAGATGAAGTTTCTATCTCGCTTTCTATTATTTCAATTGGTTTTTCAACCTTTACATCATCTGTAACAAGAAGATTATCATCTGGTAGTGCAATATCCAATGAAATTGTTCCATTTCCTTTGGCGAATATATCATATCCGTAATTTGCTACATTCCTATCGAATTTTGTTGTAGAAATCTCTGTTTTTTCACTTCCTTTAATATATACTGCTCCTCCATTGACAGCAGTATTGTTTATGAAATATGTATCCGTCACAGTGAGATGCGTATTGATTGATGACACAGATCCACCGTTTTTCTTTGCGAAATTATGAGAAAAGTTACAGTTTTTGATTGTGGCTGAAGAACCATGGAAAGATATTGCAGTTCCGTATTTTCCTCTGTTGCTTGTAAACTCATCAGATTTAACAGTGATCGACGATGAAGAAATGTTAACTAGACTGTGAGTTCCGGATAGATTATTCTCTTGAAATACGGAATTGGAAATAACTCCATTGCAATTCTTAAATTCTCCGAATGAAAAACTGTTAGACTCGTATCGGATGTTTTCAATATTAATTGAAGCAGAGTTAAGATCAATTAACCGACTTCTATTTAATTTTGGAATGACATTGGTAAAGTTTGACCTCGAAAAGGTTAGAATCTGTAAGTTTAAGCCCATGAAAAATATTGTTGGGTTGAGCGCTGTTACATTTGAAAGATAAATCTTTTTGATTAAGGCAGAAGCATCAGATGATTTAATAATCGTATCGTTAAAGACTGTGTTAGAGAATTTCATATTACTTAAATGAATAGATGAAAATCTTTGGTCAATAAATGTATTGCTGAAATCAATACCATCGTAGTCGATCTTGGTCAATTTTAAGCTGGATTTAAATGAAGTAATAAACGGTTGTATATTGTATACTTCTTTGAAAGCTGTGCGTGAAATTGATAAGGAATTTCCAACAATATTGATTAAGGAGCCATTTATTTTAAATAAAGTAACGTTTTCTAAGACAACTGAAGATTCAAGTGCGTTAATGATGGGATTTTCATCAAATAAATTGAAATTGGTCCGAATCAAATTTACATTTACGAAGGTTACTGATGAAGATGTAGAATCTATCTTTAAATTAACTGCCCTAAATGTAACATCGCGGATTTCGACAACTTGTGTGGTATTTATTAGATAAATTTCACTTTCATTTCCAACGAATACAGTGTTGCTGCCAATAAATTTCATTGGAAGTGCGTGGGTAGCATAAAAATCAAGAATTTTGTGTGAATCTTCCATTGTTAAATAATTATCTACGAAAAATAATGTATCTGATTTTTTAACCTGCTTGAAAGCATTGTCATATGAGCAAATAACATCCTGTGAGCAATATTCAGTTGCAGAACCATTAGTAGCAACTTTAATTAAATTGCTTTGTGCCAAGCAAGATAGAATGAAAAACATGAAAGAATAAAAAAGGAGCCAAATGTGAATCATTCATTTAAGAAATTTTTGTATGAGGTTTATTAAAAAAAAAAAAAAAAAAAAAAAAAAAAAGGTAGTGGGGCTTCCAGGCACTTCGTGCCTTCTAGCCCTGAAGATGTTTAGTATAAATGAAGTCTTAGAGGACAAACATGACTATGAGTTTTGATATGACAAGATAGAATATGAGAGAGGTCCTATAAACCGGAGAAAGTGTTATATAAACATCTGTCATATTACTCAGAATATTATACAGAATTCAATAAAAATATTTTTTAGGTGAAGAGGTGAGATTTCACCTGTTTTTTCACCTCATTTTTCACCTCTTGAATTTTCATGAATTTCATCGTAAAGACTTTGTCAAGATTTCATCGTAAAGACTTTGTCAAGATTTCATCGTAAAGACTTTGTCAAAACTTCATCGTAAAGACTTTGTCAAAACTTCATCGTAAAGACTTTGTCAAAACTTCATCGTAAAGACTTTGTCAAGATTTCTTCGTAAAGACTTTGTCAAAACTTCATCGTAATGAGCGTAAATCAGACAAAAATATATTTTAGGGTAGAAGGGTATATCTACCCCGTTTTCTACCCTCTTTTCTACCCCATATGTACTTACTGAAAAAGTATGTGTTCCATCTGTCATTTTACTCAGAATTTTACACCAAAAATAATGTTTAGGTGAAGAGGTGAGATTTCACCTGTTTTTTCACCTAATTTTTCACCCTCTTGAATTTTCATGAAATTTACACCAAAAATAATGTTTAGGTGAAGAGGTGAGATTTCACCTGTTTTTTCACCTAATTTTTCACCCTCTTGAATTTTCATGAAATTTACACCAAAAATATACTACTAGGGTCATTTACGAAGAAATCTCAACAAAGTCTTTACGATGAAATCTTGACAAAACATAGACAAGAAAGTTCATGAGAAATTAGATGAAGAAGTTTTGACAAAACATTTACGATGAAATCATGAAAATTCATGAGGTGAAAAAAGAGGTGAAAAAAGAGGTGAAATCTCACCTCTTCACCTAAAATATATTTTTGGGTCATTTACACTCATTTACGAAGAAATCTCAACAAAGTCTTTACGAAGAAATCTCAACAAAGTCTTTACGAAGAAGTCACAATAAACATCTGTCAAAAACCGCTTTTTAACTTCACTTAAAATGCCACGTAAGCTACGTAAGAATATACGTAAGAGGAAGAGAGCATTGAAACATCCAATAGTAAAACTGACACCACAACAACAGTTGCAACAACAAATGATGAATGACCCCACTATGTTGCAACAAATGTCAAGCAACCCTATGCTTTTAAACCGAGTTGTTGGTGCACAGAGTGGAGGTTTAAGAGCGGCACTTTTAGCGAAAATGGCAGGCTATGGTGGAGCTGCAGACGGAACAGCCTATAACCCTCAAAGTCAAATGAATTTGAGTTCACTCAAAAATCAAATAACAGATGTCAAAAAGTCAAACATAGACATACAGAAGCAAATAAGTGAAAACGAAAAGAAACTAGAATATGACAGACACACAAAGAAACTAAATGAGTTAAACGTAGAGAAAAAGAAGAAAGAAGAACAACTGAAAGAACTAAGTACAGAGGAATATGCGAAAAAAGTGTCAGAAAAAGCAACAGAAGTAGCAAAAATGGAACAAGATGTCATAAATTTGAAAAACCATACTACTCAATATAAAATACTGAAAGATGAAGAGATAAAACAAAAAGCCCTGAAGACATATATGGATAGCGATGAGTATAAAAAAGAAGTTGAAGCAAATGTAAAGGCAGAAAAACTTTTACAGTTGCAAAACCAAACCGTACAGTATGAAAACTTAGCACAAGAAAGTAAAAATAACGACGCGGCTATGCAAAAGGCAATGAAAAGCTCAGAATATATAAAAGCTAACAATGACTGGTTAGATGCCCAAGCCAACGCTAAAGCAGCCCAGCTTATAGGGTCAATAAGGACAAAAATACAAGCGGATGAAGACAGTTCAAATGAAGCTTTAACAAATGCTGACTTTAAGAACGCCTTCGAAGCTCTTCATAGTAAGGTGAAACAAGTGAACGACTTCTCATCTGGAAAGAAACTGAAGTCTGAAGGTTTCGACAAAGAGTTAAAAGAAGTAGCACAAAATATGACGAAAATAACAGATGCAGCAACGAGACAGGCAGTTCAAAGTGCCTATGACGCCGTTAGAGCAACTGTTGTGAAAAGTCAAGAAAAAGAGTTACAACAGACCAAAACAGACCTAGTAAATGCTTTCTTAAGAACGAAAAGTCAGGTAGGACATTACGCTGCAGATGGAACATATGTGCCAGCTGGTGGAACTTATATACCACCAAACCCTCCAAGAGAAGCACCTGCACCAGGACTACCTAGAACATTTACATCGTCACATGGACACAGACACAGGCATGCACAACAACCAGCACAACAACCAACAGTTCAAAATCCAGCACAACAACAACAACCAGCACAGCAACCACCTCCACAACCAGCACAACAACCACAAACAGAGCAAGGACATAAAAGAAGTAGAGAACAAGGAAACCAAGAATTCTTAAAAATGCTTAAAGAAGAGTGTGGTTTCCAGATACTGTTGACTTTAGTGACAGATATAAAGAAGCTATTGGAAAGTTCAAGGATGGAAATACTGACCCGAACCTATTTAGCTTTATGGCTCAGCACCAAAACGGATATAATCTCAAACCTGGAAAATACAAGCTCGCTAAGGGATATGATTTAATAGCATATCATCCAAATGACATGGATGAATTTACTCCGAGATATTTGATGTCAGAGCTAAATGACAATTCAACTTTCGTCATGAAACGCGTAAAAAATAGAGACGGAACGAAAGAACAAAAGCTTATGAATGCGGATGACGTAGATAGGGAAATTGTTAAAAACGGTCTCGGAATATATGAAATGCCAGCAGATGAGGTACAAGAAACTCCACAGGAAGAAATAGTTCAGATACAACCAGACATGGAAGAAATAGTTCAGCAACAACAGCTAGAAGAGCCTGAAGGAAACGAACAAGTCCCTCCTTTGGAAACTAACCTCACAGAACTAGATGAAGATTTGGAACAGCCGAAAAATCTTGACCCTCAACAAGAGCATGAGGTGAATATGGAATCTTTCCAAGAGTCTAAGAAAGATTCGGCTGACATAGTAGAAGAATATCGAAAAATGTTTGCCGACATACAAAAGACTCCAACACCAGATGAAAATATTCAGCATAGAATGGAAGTACTGAAAAAAAATGTACACAAATACAACAACCCTTTTTACTTACGAGCATTTAACGTTCAATCTTCGGATGAACTCGGTGAAGATAAAAGGTTAAATTTCAAGAAAACATATAGAAATGAAACATTGTTTAAAGTTCATTCAGAACCTAACCAAGATGGAAACAAACCTACTTTTGTTTCTGCAGACGATGGAACTACAATGAGATGGGGTCATAAAGCTAACCCGGATAGGTGGTTCATAAACTTACAACCTCAATTCCAAGAAGTTGTAGACGCAATGGAAGTCAATGGTGAACCAGATATAGCTGGTATTTTAAGCGCGGCTTTAATGCCATTGAAAGATATGAAACATGCAGATATTTTGGACCAGTATGAAATGAACATGGCTGATGGAAATATAACACCTGACGTTCTAGAACATTTATCTCAAAGAACTACACAGAACCATAGAGATGGTATATTTGGTGAAGAGTTTAGAAAGAAAGTTAGGGAGAGAGAAGGAAGAGAACCTATTGTACATGACCTTGCAAACGAAAGTTTACAAAATGTCATAAAAACTTACTTTGCAGACAATGAACCGAGAAGGGATGAATATTTAAGAAAACTCAAATGGACAGTACCAAATGAAATGTTAGTATTGAAAAACATGTTCCTTGACAAAATAAAACCAACTACAGAAATAAATGACGCAAGACTGAAAGATTGGGTAAAAGCTTTCCCATTCACAAAAGATATAGTTGGTAACATGGAAAGAAAACCAGAATGGCTACAAAAACATATATTTGAAACGAGCATATTCCATATGGACAGGCACTGTTTGAAGAGCTTGAACCGGAAACTCAGGAAAGAGTCATGCAAACAATACGCGAAGACTCAAATACAGACTATGACAAACTCTTTCTAGGATATAGGTTACCTGAGATGGGCGACCAGAGCCAAAAGGCAAAAAGGACATGGAAAATTTGCAACATACTAGATGAACATAATGCAAAGATGCAACAACTTCAAGCAGAGGGCAATGAAGGAAAAAGAAGAGTTAAAAACTCAGTCAGGAAGAAAGTAAAGCATGGTCCACGTGGGTTCTATTATGACATATAAATCCAACTATTCTATATTTTTACTCATATGAAATGTACGCCGCTCAGAATATAACGCCAACAGTTTTGGATGCCATGAATGGAAATGTTTCCGAATGTATAACGAATGCGACAATGCCATTAGAAGGTCAGAAATAGTTCCTGGAACTTACGAATATACAACTGCTGTTTCTTATGGAAACGTAGGTGAGTTTGGAGAAGGTTCTTCAACAACAGTAGATATTGCTTGCGACAGGTTTCATATAATTTCTATTGACAACTCTTTCTTATACGTGGAACAAGACATTGAAATAAAACCTTCTGCCAAGTTGTCTGACAAGAAAGGTTGCAATGGAATTTTCTATGTCGGATACCAATATGCTCCAGAAGTTTTCATGGGATATAAGATATATTCTAACTCTGACTTAGTTCAAACAGTAACATGGGCAAACTATGAATGGTTCGCTTTGAGAAAACTCAGTACAACCACAAGCTAGAGAACAACAGACCATATGCAACTATGAGAAAATAAGAAGACTTGACCTAACGTCCAGGAGTTTATGAACCTTTCTGGACAAACTGCAGGCAGCAGTAACCAAGTAAAACTGAAAACTTAGAGTTCCTTTGTCATCTTTCCTCATCTCAGGTTTTAAGATACTTGCCAAACTGGGCAGGAAAATTTCTATCGAACTTACTCCAAGCAAAAATAACTTAGTCATTGCACCAACACAAGACCCATTCACTCTTACAGAAGTAGTGGGAACAAATAAAATGTCATTCGCCGACTTTTGCAAAAACAAAGTTGACTTAGACTTTGGTTTCTCAAACCTCAACACTGAAGTAAACTATTATTTCAATGCTGCTGGAGATGCTTGGGACCCAGTTAAGTTCACATGCGAAAAATTTGAATGCAAGAGAATAGAAAAGCAGACTTGCAGTCTATATGTTGGACCCAGATATTTCAAATGCTTTAGCTGCCAAATATATTGCAGTTCCACTTATGTTCCTATACACCAAATATCTGTCAAAGACTTTGCAGGTGAAGTTGGAAACCAAAGTGCTGACCAGGTGCAAGAACAGATATTGCTTTAACAACTGCAATGAAACATGCAGATACTATGTTTGTACTGTTCAGACGAACTATAAATGACTATTCTTGCTTCTACAACCCTGGTATTAAATACCATATAAACATAGATGGCAAATATTATCCAAGAGAAGAATATTCTACAGTTGAGGATATGAGGTCATACAACTTGACATTAGATGCTATGAACTTTAACAACAACTTCACAACAACCATTAACCCTGAAATGCAAAGTTCTATTATGCCATATGTGAAAGTATGGACCCCATACAGGAGGTCAAAAAACTCAATATACAAATGGAGAACCGTTTCAAACTTTTGGCTTGGCATTCCATTTGCTGACTCAGAAGACTTTATGGGTGGTATTTCAACTGTTGGTACTGTACAAATACAATATACTGGTGACAGAGACGGTCCAGATGAATTGAAAGCAAAGAAGTTTACAAAACCAATAGCACTTTTCACGGAAGATGCTCTTTTGAAGATTCGTTCGATGAAACCTGCTGGGGCTCCTCAGATTGGTATAACGACAGCTTCCATCGAGCAGATTTGGCAGCAGGTCAGTAAGTTGTTCTTGAACTGACTTCTCTCCGTCAAATATTGACAGTACGCCAGTTTTGATATAATATTGTATTAAAAACTTACCTTTAGAAATATCGGTCAGTTTTGTTGTTATATTTTTGTCAACGTCAAGAACTTTCACCATTTCAGTTATACCAACTTTCTTTGCTTTATGAAAATATTTTGGTTCAGCAAATATTGCTATTCTATAACATTTTCCATTGTTTGTGTAAAGAACTATTCTATCAATGAACTTGTATTGTTTGTGTGTGTAAACTTTGTTTTGCTTCAATTCGAAGAGATACTCAAATACGTCCATCTTTTTATTCTAAGTAAAATGTCATTTCCGAAAAATAGAAGCGTAAGTGTTTCAAAAGGTTTAATGCGGTGGCAGATGTGAAGTTAAATTCACCAACTCAAACAAACAGTCAAAGTGTTGTTGTCAATGTCAAAGAAAGAGATGTTGAAGTGGGGAAACCATACGAAGACGAAGATGGTATAACAATAGTTCCTGTAAAAGAACAACCAACATACCCTGAAGTTAGCAGAGACTTAAGTTCTGTTGCAGATATTCGAAACGACTACCAACAACTTAAAGACAAACTTAAAACTCAGGAGAAGATTTGTCAAGCTTTGGGTATAATGTTAAACTTGGTCGAACACAACCCTGTAAAAGTGAACTCATATGTCATCGCACCTCGTGAAGTTTTGAAAGAACTATTGAAACTTTTGACAGAGGCAGACGATATAAACATCAAAGAAATAGAACCCGACATTAGTTGCTGTGGTGTTTCATATAATGTCATTGACAAGATATACGTTATGAAAGGAGGTGAAACGTTGAACTTAAAGTATAGTTTCCCAGACGTCATAAAAATATTTGACGACCACAACATTTCATTAAAATTTAGTTGCTAAGTAAATGGCAGAAGACATAGTGGTTTATACTATTACGACTAAAAACCCTGAGTCATATAATTCTATAACAACAAACTTACAAAGTCCTCAAGGACGATATTGTAAACTGACCTTAAACACGATGACGACTAAAGCCTGTTTTGCTCTTTTGACACCAGAAGACTTTGTTGTTGTGAATGGTAAAAAATACTTCTTTGAAGATACTTACTCAGATATACCACCAACAGGTTTTGTTGACTTATTTAATACTTTAAGGACGGATGTAACATGTGCTGCAACTAGAGCAGGTTTCATTATGTTTGGATGTCCGACCGAGTTTAGTATAAACGATATGAGCTATAATACAAAACTTATATCTGGTTTTTACTACCAACAGTTTCCTATAACAGGAAAAGGTGTCATACAAGGTTTGTCTGTTCCATTGACTTTAAGTACACCTATTTTATATATTGTTTCAAACTTAGGTTCAAAGTGCTATTCGAATGTCGACAGAAACTACTATGACCAAAAGATACTCATGCGTATAAACAACACTTTCTCTGCTGGTTTGCCTATTGTTCATTCGAATGCAGAGTTTTCAGCTTTAGTAAACTCAAACACTTTAGCAAACATAAACTTAACCTTAGTTGACGCAAACTTTGTTCCTGTAAAACTTTTATGTCCTATGTATTTGTCAATGACGGCAGAAAGTTTCGAATTGGAAGATGCAACTGGTGAAAGTATTGTATTACAAGAACAACTTCAACAACAAATAGCTCAAGAACAACAAATGCAACAAATAGCTCAAGAATAAAAAAATATTTTTTTTTTTTTATAAAAATGTACAGAATAGATGTTTCAGATTTTTATGACTTCCAAGCGTTCAGAAATATGTGTCCATTTCGAGACTATAACAAAGCAGTCGAGAATTTGAAACGTTTAGTCATTTATGTTGACTCTGCCCCAGAATGTATGTCATGAAAGAATGGGATGTTGTCTTTAACAAACCAAGAGCGACAATAGTTTCAGAACAAGAATGTAGACAGAAACTTAAGAAAATAAAAGTTGTACAAGTTGGAATGAAGATGTTAGATGCTTGGGATATCTTATTGTCAAAGTTAGAAGATTTTTCAGTTCGTGGTATAAAGTTCTATTACACCTTCTCCAAACTTCTATTCTATCTTCACTGGATATAAATACGAACAAGTAGAATGGAAAGAAAATATTATAGAAGCTTGGTTAGACCATGTCAAAGAAATTATATGCAATGGAAACGAAAGAGTCTATGAGTATATCTTATGTTGGTTTGCAAACATCTTACAAACATCAAGCTGCTAAAATGAAACTGCTCTCATTATAATTGGAAAACAAGGAACAGGTAAGAACACATTCTTTACAGATATCTTATGCAAACTGTTAGAAGGTTATTCGAATCCGAATATGACAAACTTAGAAACATCTGTGGCAAGTTTAACTCCTCAATAGAGAATATGAAACTTATAGTTTTGCAATGAACTTCAAAGTATAGATACAACAAAAGTTTTGAACTCAGATGCTTTGAAGAGTCTTATAACAGACAAAGTTGGAGTTGTTGAAAGAAAGTATAAAGACCAAAGAGTTTGTGAAAATGTTGCAAACTTCATTATGGTTTCAAACAATGCTGTTCCGATGAAGTTAGAAAGTTCTGACAGAAGATATGTAGTTGTCAGAACGTCAGATTCTCATATGCAAGATACAGAATATTTTGACGACTTAGCAGAAACTTTGACACCTAACTTTTACAACCACTTGTTCTCATATTTTATGACATTAGATATTTCTAAGTTCAATCCAAGACAAATTCCACATACCGAAGAAAGACAAACAATGTTAGAAGCAAACAAGAGTGTTTATGAACTGTTCGTAGATGAGACTAACTTTGTGTCATTAGATGAAAGGTCATTGTACGATGAATATAAACAATATTGTCAAGAGTATGGTTATATGACAGCGTCTAAACGAACATTCTTGGCAAATGTCAAAAATCTTTTAGATGTTCAGAATGGCAAATATAGAAAGAAATAATTTTTCTGAGTAAATTTTAAAAAAATATTTTTTTATCCGATAGAAAAGATGGCAAAATTCATCTCAGTAAATAAGTACATGTCAGGACTTAAAGAAGAACTAGACCCATTCGCTTATTTGAATGTTTACTTCTACCATTTTGAAAAGTCTTCATTCAGCAAAGTTTGGAACATCGAACCAGTTAAGTTTGCAATTGTGACTAAAAATGGTGCGAAATTTGAAGACTTAGACATAGAAGGTTTGTTAGCAGTCAAAGAAAATTTTGACAGAAGGTTTTCAAACCTTAAAGAAGGCAAAGCATACAAACTTGTTTATACCTTATGAACCAAAGAAGACAGACGACTATGAATATTATGAGTCTAAGATAGTTGAAGTTCAAGGTAAGTTGCGGTAAAAAGATTTTTAGAGTCTAAGCCAGTGTTTGCTCCTAAAGAGGAAGAGAACATTGACATTGACCCAGAAATGTTCTAAAAATAAAAGTTTATTTTTACATGTCAAATTTCTTTTTCTCTGGAACTGGTTCAGGTTCTTTCTTCTCTTCTTCTACTTTCTTTTCTTTTTTCTCTCTTCTTCTTCTTCTCTGGTGGAGTTATGTCAAATTTGGCGCAACCATATTTATGTAAAAGTTCTTTGTCCTTAATAGCCTCATCTATTCTGTTTTTTATTTCATCTTCAAGAACAGCGCATGTGTCTTCTTTGCATTCTAAGAAGTTTTGTTGGACTTCATCTTTCCAATCGGCGTCATCTCTGTCAACAAGTCTGTCATTGACAAATTTTAAGACTGCTCTGCTTAATGTTTTATGGTTCTTGTCATATTCCCAGAAACAGAACTTTAGAACAAATTCACCTTTCTTGTTTACACTATGTAAGATTTTATGGTCGACAGATGTTTTGCTGTCAAAAAGTTTTGTCTCGAATATAGATAGCGAAATCGCTAGACATTCCTAAAAGATAAAATTTTTAATTTTTCTAAAAATATGTTAGAAAAAAAGTTTGCTGACATTGACAAGAAATTTGAGAATGTTTTAAACAAGAACAAGAGGAAGTTAGAAAATGCTCAGATAAAACCCATACATGACAAGTTCCTATTTGCTCAGAATGGTATAACAGGTCTAATCGCACCACCTGGGTCGGGTAAGACTTTCACTTATCTTAAAATGGCTGCACAACAACAAGAACTAGATGAGAAGAACCCATTCTATGAGTTAGTTGTTATTTGTAGTACTTCTGGTCAATTTGACCAAACCGTAAATTCGTTCAAAGATATTATAAAAAAGTCTAAGTTAGTATGTATAAAGGATACTGAGTTGTTAGATTGGATAAAGAAGTACCAAAGAAGAGTTTTGAAGTACAATGCTATAAATGAGTATATAAATTCTAAGTTTAAAGACCCAAATGAGGAAATGCAGAGAATATTAGAGAAGAAACACTTCAGAAACAAACAGAAAGAGATAGAATACATTTCGAAGAAATTGCAATCGTACGATTGGAAGACTTACCCTCATAGATGTCTTCTTATTTTAGATGACTTTGCTTCTCATCCTTTGTTAAAGAACAGAGAACAAGATATGTGTCGAATTCTTAAGAAGCTCAGACACTTTAACATCTCAGTTGTCATTTGTGTACAGACAGCAAAGAGTTTAAGTAAGGATGTTAAAAGAATACTTACTGATATCATACTTTTCCCTGGATTGTCCGAAGACGATTTCATGGAACTTATGAAAGAGTCCATGGCAGGTAAGTTTGACAGACATGAACTATGGGAGAAGTACAAAGTCATACAAGACCCTCATACTTCTTTCAGAATTCATATCTACGCAAACAAAGTTCAAATTGTAAAAAGTCAAGCTTGAAAATAAAGAGTTTAGTCTTAGTAAGTAAGTCTGTTGTGGTTCTGCAGCTTTCGGTTCTTCTGGCTTTGGAAGGCATTCAGGAAGAGGAACGTCGGACATTCGTTTGTGTCCTGTCGGAAGGAAGAACTTTTCCTGTTGGAAGGAAGAACTTTTCCTGTTGGAAGGAAAAACTTTTCCTGTTGGAAGGAAAAACTTTTCCTGTTGGAAGGAAAAACTTTTTCTGAAGTTCGACCAAAAAGTTCTCAATTTTCGAAAATTTGAATGGTTTACGACGGACAACTGGAAAAATTTTTCCTGTTGGAAGGAAAATTTTTTCCTGTTGGAAGGAAAATTTTTTCCTGTTGGAAGGAAAATTTTTTCCTGTCGGAAGGAAGAGTTCTTCCTGTCGGAAGGAAGGACTCGGAATGCCAGAAGGATTTGACAAGACAATTGACCTTATAGAGCTACCTGAGCCATCTGAAGTCAAGCGTAAAAATAAATGGTTCATCTACCCTGCTTGTTTGAAGTTGTCAAAATACTCTGTTATTTTTTCTTTCAGTAGCGGCAAATCTTCTTTGAAGGTAAGTATTGTACAACCTTTAATATCATAGTGTGTTTGAAACGTATCTTGAACTATTTGTTTCACATCTTCATTCGGTGTCATTGAAATCGGTAAGTTTTCGCGATAGAACCAATTTCTGTCAGATTTGTAAATCTTAGCAAGGTCGTAAAAGCTTTTGTTGTTTCTTCTGACTAAATGCAACATAACCATATCTTTATCTTCTTCATTTTCCATCTCTTCAGTATAAATCATATACTTATAGTTCTTTTCCTTTCCTTTTGGTACCGAACGTGGTATTCTTTTCTGAATGCTTTTGTCTTTTGCTTCAAGCTTGTTTTCCATCTCTTCACGTTCTTGTCTATGAATTTCATCTAACATCATGAAAATATAACAAGCGTAACGAGGTGAAGCCCACATTGCAACAGCATTTACAAGAAGTCTATGTACATAATATCCTCTCAAACCGTTTGGCAATTTTTCACGATTTTCGTACGGAATCTCGACCCGCGGTTTTCTACCGGTCGCAAACATATGAGGAAATTCTTCTAAAAGTTCTTTTGTCTGTTGGTTTTCAAACCAATGACGTGCTTGCTTTGTAGAACGAAGAGCAGTCAAAATACTTTGCATTTGGTACATATCGTCTTTGACCGAACGAATGAGACGGAGTTGTTTGTTAAACTGAACCCACTCATATTCTTCATTTATAGCTTCATGGACTATAACTGTTGTTGTGTTCTCTGTTGTTGACATATCTGTCCTTACATACAAAATAAAAAAATATTTTATAAAAAATTAGCGTTATTTTTTTTAAGTTTGGTCATCCTTCACTATATGACAAATATACTATATTTTACTTAAAAATATGCAAGCGGCTCATAGCTCAGTGGTATGGGCTACCTCGCTACAGGCGTCGAAGACCTCGGTTCAAATCCCGATTCGCGCAGGTTTTTTCCTTTTATGCAGTGAAATTTCATGTACATAGGTTACTTTGGTGTTAGACCCTAGTGAAGAAAATAGAACGATATAAGTTTACATTTGTAAGGTTGGACGATAAAATTTACTGACTGACGTCGGACATTGTCTTGAAAAAGTAAAAGACTTGTCTTGAAAAAGTAAAAGACTTGTCTTGAAAAAGTAAAAGACTTGTCTTGAAAAAGTAAAAGACTTGTCTTGAAAAAGTAAAAGACTTGTCTTGAAAAGTAAAAGACTTGTCTTGAAAAAGTACGGGTATCGTCTGAAATCAAGACCACTGTTCTCAAATTTGAGAACTTTACACCAAAAAATTTCTTGAAAAAGTAAAAGACTTGTCTTGAAAAAGTAAAAGACTTGTCTTGAAAAAGTAAAAGACTTGTCTTGAAAAAGTAAAAGACTTGTCTTGAAAAAGTAAAAGACTTGTCTTGAAAAAGTAAAAGACTTGTCTTGAAAAAGTAAAAGACTCGTCTTGAAAAAGTAAAAGACTTGTCTTGAAAAAGTAAAAGACTCGTCTTGAAACAATGACCGACATAGACCCAGCAGATGAGGCAATCTACCTTATAGAGATAAATGAGCTAGTTAGGAACTACCTGAGCCATCTGAAGTCAAGCGTAAAAATAAACGCTTTACATGTATTTTTCAGCAACTTCGTCAAATAATTTTATAGCTTTATCTATCTCATCTACTTCAAACGTTTCTTTACCTTTCGTGGGAGCACCATACATTTTCTCAAACTTTTCGAGTAGTTCTGTTTCTGCAGCTCTCATATCGTTAACGAACACAACCTTAACTCTATTGACTGTACTGTCATATCTTTGAGTTATATTATATGTTCTTCCTATCTTATATCTCTTTGTATTGAAGTCCTTCGGTTTCTGAACGATGTAAAGTAAGCCTTCACTGCAACGTTCCGTATCGAATGAACCATATGTTATGAAATTATATCCAACAACTGGGTCTAACCATAACAAAACTATTGGTATAAGACTTTTGTCAATGAGATATGCTGTAGTTCCATGAAATCTTACCGATATCAAAAGCTCAGGATTTCTTGTCAAAATTTTCTGAGTAGAAGCAATTCTAACCCAGTCGTGGGATGTTTTCTTTCCAGATGGAGATATAATGTCTGACAAAGAATATTTGTTGTATTTCTTTGAGTATCTTACGTTTAAATCACCTATTCTAACCAATTTGGTGTCATTGTCTATCTTTTTAACTGTTTCAAACTCAATGTTTAACATTTCTGTTCTTACATACAAAAAAAAAAAAATATTTATAAAAAACTAACTTTATTTTTTCTGTCTTAAGGAAATTCATGAAATTTCATACGGAATTCAGCAAAAATATATTTAGGTGAAGAGGTGAGATTTCACCTCTTTTTTCACCTGTTTTTCACCTCATGAATTTTCATGATTTCATCGTACATGTTTTGTCAAGACTTCTTCGTACATGAATTTTCATGATTTCATCGTAAATGTTTTGTCAAGACTTCTTCGTAATGAGCGTAAATGACCCAAAAATATATTTTAGGTGAAGAGGTGAGATTTCACCTCTTTTTTCACCTCTTTTTTCACCTGTTATTTTATAAGCGTTTTACATGAATTGTATGATGTATATTTGAAATCCTAAACAATTTCGTAGCTTCTATTTCTTCTGTCAGTACATCGAATGTTTTAACGATACCGAAAGTTTCTTTATACTTCTTCTTGACGTCAGATAGAAGGAAATCTTCTGCTGTTGGATAGTTTTTATTAAGAAATGTCAACATATCCATTTTATCTTCTGCTGGCTTTTCTGCTTCTTTCTTTAAGTCTGCATAGTCGTTTCGCATTCTTTCTATCTCTTTGACTGAGTAGTTATATTTCCTCATTGCTGCTTTACATTTTGAACATTGCGGGTTCATTTTTGCGTTATATTCTGAAACCTTACCTGCTAAAACAACTAAGGCGTCAATTGCTCTCTTCATCTCGAACATAGCGGGTCTTATTTGTTCGTTCCATACCTTACCTCTTCTATCTTTATCTCTTATTTCCCAAACACATTTTGCAACTAATGAAACAAAGTTGTCGTAGGTCTTAAATTCTTCGGATTTGTAAAGGTCAGAGATGTTCTTATATAACATGTCGCAATCTTTGTCCATAACTTTATGGTTGCAATGAAAACCAAGGAATTCATAATTTACCTTTCGTATGAACTTCTTTATTTCTACTGAGTCAGTTGGTTTCACTTCAATTTCGTCGAATTCGGGAATAGTGAGTTTTTGTTGTTGGATTTCAGGCAATTTGGGTAAATGGTCAATAATGTCCTGCATTTCATAAAGATACTGTTCATTTGTTTCATCTTTCGCACTACAGTCTAAATTACTTGTTAAAAGTTCTTGCTTTATCTTCTGGATTTTTGTTTCGAAAGTATATGAAGAAGGAATGAAGTTTTTCATCTCTACCAACATAGATGTTGGATTCATAACTAACGAGTTTGGTGCTGTAGTTGCTAACATGTTCTTACAATAAAAATAAAAAAAAATATTTTATAAAAAACTAAAATATATTTTTTATCTTAAGGAAATTCATGAAAATCCAACGGGTGAAAAAACAGGTGAAAAAAGAGGTGAAATCTCACCTCTTCACCTAAAATATATTTTTGTCGAAAAAAATGGTTCATTTACTCACAATATTTTTGTACAAAACAACCCCAAGCTTTTAACCTCTCTTCTGCAGCTTCTAATGCTATCTTAGCGAGTTCATATTCTCTAAATTCTCTCTTTAAATCTTCTTGTTCCCATTGGTCTAGTTCGTATGGCGAGTCTCTATAACCAGAACATATCTCACGTTCATGTTCTATTTGTTTTTCATGCATTTTTCTAACTTCTTCTTCGAACAAAGGTTTTGCATTCTCTACTGTATCTTCAAGTTCTTCTTCATCTAATTTCTCATGAACTTTCTTGTCTATGGAGTCCATAATTTTTCCAACTGCTATGCAATATTTTGGAGAAGCCCACATTGCTATATAGTTTACAAGTCTTGGGTCTACATACATTCCTCTAACCTGTTTGATTTCATCAGGAATTCCTGCATGAATTTTGTATAAAAAGCAACCCGCTGTTTTCCGCGGGTTGGTATATTCTTCACAAAATGCCTCAAAATACTCTTCCCAGGACTTATTTTCCAACAACCTTCTAAAGTCCTTCCTAAACTGCTGACACATATTTGTTGCATTTATATAACCATCCTTGTCTCTACGTAAGACTTCAATACCGTTGTAAGTGCCTTTTGTGAATGTTTCGCCATTAGATTTGTTCGTGAACGTTTTTGCTTCGACTGACATTTCTGTTCTTACAATAAAAATAAAAAATATTTTTTGGTGGACGTCGGACATTCGTTTGTGGCTTAACCGTCGGACCACAACGATAAAAATCTCGACAAAACATATACGATGAAGTCTCAACAAAACATTTACGATGAAGTCTTAACAAAAAATATACGATGAAATCTATTTCCTGTGTTGTTGTCAAAATGTCATGTTGTCACACTTTTTCAAAAAGATGTTAGTTGACCGAGTGACCGAGTGACCGAGTGACCTGGTCGCCTAAAATATATTTTTTCTATCTTAAGGAAATTCATGAAAATTCACCTGTTGAATTTTGTATAAAAAGCAAACCCGCTGTTTTCCGCGGGTTGGTATATTCTTCACAAAATGCTTGTTTTGAGGTCGAGCCACTTTTGGCTCCACCTCTTTTTTCAACCAAAAACTCATTTTTGTCGAATTCAGCACAAAATTCATGAAAATTCAACGGGTGAGAAAACAGGTGAGAAAACAGGTGAGAAAACGGGTGAAATCTCACCTCTTCACCTAAACATTATTTTTCAATACTTTTTCAGCACTTTTCCGTAGTTATATATGAAAGACAATTCGGGATGAAATTTCTTCATCTGATATAGTCCTACCGGCGTTTGTAAAGATATAGTCTAACGGTTTTGTATCTGCTACTTTTGTTCTTTGTTTTTCAACCTGAAACATTTAATATATGTAAAAATATATGGTTTTAAAAACGTTTTAAAATTGTATGCCATATAGCTTCTTGAATTTGTTAAGATATAGTCTAATGTATTTTCCATCTGTATCTCTAGCGTTTACATAAGCACAGCCTTCCTTAGTAAAACATACTTGTAATTTTCTATAGTTTACGCCGGTATAAAAGTAGAAAGAGTCTTGTTCTTCGCTATAGTAGTAAAACTCAAACGTATGCTTGCCATAGTCTGTAATTTCAATTGTTTCATCTTCTAGTTCGTCGACAAATTCGAATACAATATCTCTTAATTTACCTTTGTTCTTATTGTTTTCAGAACAAGTGACCCAACGCAAGTTTTCAAGTCTATTGTCATTTCTTATACGGTTTATATGGTCTACAAAAGGTAGATTGTTAGGGTTCGGTATAAAATGAGTTGCAATGACAACATGTTTAAGATAGTGTTTTCCACCAATCCTCATCCTAGCATATCCGTCATTTCGCTCACATTCGCTTAAAACTCTTTTTGTCTTTTTGTTTCTGACTTCAAATGACTCACAACAGTGAATTTCATATTTCTCATCTAACAAACAAGTTTCCCAACGGTCTTCTCCAACAAACTCAGCGTACATTTCAAATAAAATAAAAAAAATATATTGTTTTAAAAAATGTTTTATTTCATGCAATGTTTAACTATTTCACCATCTTCCTTAACAGCCCAGTACTTACGCTTCGATATTACATGAACTTCGGAAAATACCTTATCTAGCTTAAAACAGCCCATCTTCTCACCGACCATTCCCATTTCAATGAGTTTGTTGTACCCTTCTTCGTTCGTCATGAGTGCGTCAATGTTCTCATAGTAAACCTTCACTTTCGATTTGACTTCGGAGAAGAATTTGTTGTAGTTGTCAAGGACTGCCTTTGCGAACTGAGGGTAAGACCAATGTTCGACAATAGGTTTTAATGTGGTTACTAAGCCACTTTGACCTTGAGTGAATTCGTACTTCAAAACAAAAGGAGAAAACCTTTCAACAAAGTTGTCGACCTTCTCATAATGTTTTACTCTTCATCTCTTGAGGTTTTTTAATGGAATATCCCCATGTCGAATTCATAAGCAATTGAGTGTCATTGCAAGTTTGGGGTTTGAAGCTTTCCTAATATCATAGAGTTGTTGTATGACTTTTCCAACTGTATAGTTCCTTCCCGGGAACTCACCATCTTCGTTTGGAATTCCAGTCGGGATATATTGACAAACCTCATGTATGCAGCGTTAAGGTCGACATAGTATATCTTTTCATCTGAGTCGAACTTGTCGCAACCAATTGGTCCAGTTTGTGGAAATTCAAGTGAGTCTTATCTTCTGAGAAACTTCTCCTGTTATCTCATAAACATCGTCGAAGCAACCTGTTTCATATAAAACCTTCTGACCTAACTCAGATGCTCTCCAATACAATTTGACGTCAATTGGATGTCTCAATGGAAGTTTGTTTATAGCATCTTGAAGTTCTTGCAACCTCATTGGAAGTTCTTCTGGTTCAGGTTGGTATCCGAACAATCCAACTCCTTGTGGAATTGTGTACTTCTTTTGTACTAGAACTTTGTCTGGAACAACTTTTGGTCTTGCTAACAGTGAAAAGTTTGTTTCGTCTTTTGGTACAAAAGTTTCTGTCAGCTTGTCATCTGGAATTGGTTCCAACAAACCTTTCTCGAAAAGAATGTTAACAGCTCTGACAATGTTGCACTTGCCTTTCCGAACAATGGGTTTGTAAGACTTTCGTTCAACATGAAGTGGTTGTGGACAATTACAATCTTCAACCATGGTAAGTCTTTGTCAACAACATAGTCGTCATGTGAAGAACCTTTAGCTGTAGGTATGTTGACTCGGATATTGACATTTGCCAACGGTGCAACTTTTTGCCAATTGACCTCTGAGAATGTACCTTGTCTTCACACCATGACTCAAGATACTTCATCTTCTCTTCTGTAAACAAGACCAGAGTTCCTGAGACATGTAAGAATACAAGGTTCATATGACAATTGTTTCAATTGAATTGTAAATTCCATACCTTGTCAAGTCAATGTCAGACTTATTTATGAACGGGAAGTATCCAGCATGTTGTCTGACTGCTTGAGGGTTAGGTTGGTACCATTCGAACTTGACACTTGCAATTCCTTCAATTGCGTTCAAAATGTCTGAGTCGGAGTCAAACATTTGTTCTCTCTTTGTAGTCTTGAAAGCGTCGAGAAGTTGTGCGGCTGTTTGTTCATTGCCATGTGCATAGTATATATGACCGTCCAAATCTGTTATGGTTAGTCTGAGATTGTATCCTTTCTTATTTCCGTCTTGTATAGCAGCAAGTACACCCATAAAGCCTTCTTTGTTCTTTCCATCGTCAAAGTTTACTGTAAAGGTTTGACCTGAACCAATTTTACTTCTAACTTCACGATACTTTTCATATGCATATCTTGTTCTTTCCATGGGAGCATGACCATCCTCTGCACTACCTTTTTTCCTTCTCAAAGGATGCAATTGTTCGTCATGTTTCCAGTAGAATCTGGCAAAGCCGTCGTGTCCTTCAACTTGAGGTTCACTAACATCGAAAGGCATGTCCATAAGACGTTCTTCTTCTAACCTCTCTAATCTGTTTGGATAATTGGCACGTGCTGTTTCCAAATCCATTTCGTAGCGAAGACCAGACAATTTGTCATAAACTTTTATGGGTCTTCCCTTCCTATATTTAAAATTCTTTGAAACTCTCCAACCATATCTTTCTAACTCTGCTTTTATTCTAGCAGATTTTCTGTCCATTCTATATGGGGGCATTTTTATAAAAATAAAAAAAATATTTTTTTTTCTTTACTTTACATAACCGCCTGCTGCCATAAGTCTTTGACGCCAACCCATACCAGCTAATGAAGGTTGACTTGGTTTAGTTTGGAAACTAAACTTTGGTTTTGGTTTATCTTCAGTTTTTGGTTTTTCTTCTTCTATCGGTTTTTCGTCACTTTTTGGTTCCTCACTTTACTTCACTTGCAGGAACAGTGTGTCGTCAACATCTTCATAAATATCATATGCCATTTGTTTTTGTTTTCCTTTCAACTTTTTGTTTTGTTGTAAAGTTTAGAATATTTCGACTCTAAGTCAATGAGATGTTCTATAATGAACTGTTGGTCAGTAAGTATACCTTCCCATCTGTTGTCTCGAAAGCTCCTTCAGACTTCAATATTTATTTGTGAGAGTCTGTTTCTTTTTGAGATACTAGCCGTTCCATTTCTATGAAAAGTGACTTTATAGTTAGGGTTTGTATTTCCAGACCTGGCACTTCTATTATTGAATTTTTCTCTTCATCTGTAAGTTCTTTGACAGGTTTTGACAATGGTTCTGAACTTTTTGTTTGTGGTGTCAAATCTACCGTTTCAACTTCTTCGGTCATTTCATCTCAGTAAAAAATTTTAGTTTGGTTTGTTTTCAACTGGTTGTTTAGGTTTTTTAAGTCGGTCTAAAACTTCCTGAGGTATAGGAAGAACTTGACAAACACGTTGTGTAACTGCTGGAAGCCGACAAATCCATCTTGAACCCATTTGTCTCAATGCTGTATTGTTCATTTCATCTCAGTAAAAAAATTTACATTCCCCACGTTTGAGGCGGTTGCGGTTGGTTGTTGTTTACCCACTGTTGTGCATGGTTATATCCTCTGTTAAAGAATCTTTCACCTTGGTCCATATAGTGCCCTGCTTGGTTATAGTAGTCATTTGCTTTGTTATAGTAGTTTCCTGCTTGTCTTCCTACATTATCCATCCATCCTTGAACTTTTCCTCTTGTTTCAGGATTTGGAATAAGATTTGCTGCATCTCGTGCTACCTCCCAACCTTTCTGTACAGTTTGTATAATAGGTTGTGCTTTCTCTTTAAGTATACCTAATGTACTCAAAATCTTCCTTCCAACTCCAAATACACCTCTGGCTATTGTTCCACTGCGGGCAAAAATCTGGATGCAACTCCTGCTAATGCGCCAAATAAACCCATTTCTTATGGGTTAAAAAATGACGAATCCAAACAAGGACCCCTATGTTTCTAAGGCAACAAAGAAAGCACTCATGATAAAAATCTTTAGTTCAACACCAAATGCTTGGTTTATGGATATCTTGGAAAACATTCCGAGGTATAGAGAAGATGGACCTCCATACTGGCTAATATTTGTCGGTCAAAACACAAGATACTGTGAAGCCATACCATTATGGTCCAAAAATATTTTAGATGTGAAAACTGCTTTGACAATATTCGTTGACAAATACCATCCAACAAAACTGACATCTGACTGTGAAAGTTCTTTCAAATCAGACGATATTAAAACTATCTGCGTTCAAAAAATGTAAACCAATATTTCATTGTCGACCAAAACCATTCTGCTCTTGGTGTCATTGACAGTTGTATAAAAATCTTAAGAGACTTAAACCAACCACAAGGTGGTGAGGTAGATGAAATGTCATATGACGACAAATATAGACACTTCTCCATGGCAAAGATGAGACAAGTTTTAAATATTTACAATAGCCGTAAACAAAAAGGTTTAGGAAACCACTCTCCCGAAGAAATGAAAAACAACCCTGACTTAGAGAAAGACTATATATTTAATAGTTTAGTCAAAAGAGACAAACAAGAAAGAATGCCAGGCTTCAAACTTAAGAAAGGTGACAAAGTAAAAATAGAAATACCTAAACGCGACCCATATGAAAATACTATTGACTATGAACAACAATGGGAACTCGACAGGTACTCGCATTCGTGTTCGTAAAAATAGAAGAAAGTATACAAGAGAATATTATGAAGTTTTAGGCAAACATGGCAAAATGTACAGACTGCAAGCAGAAGATAAAACTACTATTGTCAGACCTCGTTTCAAACTTGTCAAAGTTCAAGGTGGTATACTTTCAAAGACAGTTCCTAACAAATATAAGACAACTCCTGACGAATATGCTAAAGAAGTTGAAAATGACGACTAAGCATTTCTATACCATGCGTAAACTGTCATGTAAGGTGCATATAGTCTTTACTTTGTCCCGTTGTTTGCGTATACCCTGAAACGCGATGTGTATGGTTTCCTCCTCCCTCAGTGTTACTCCAGTAACAATCTATAGCAAACTTAACGTTGTCTTTAACATCATATCCTTTACCTTTTATCATTCCTGACCAATCCCAATATCTATGCTTATGCCAACCTGCTTGAGATGTACTTAAATCTATGTAGTGACTATGCGCAGGTAAATTTTCACCTGAAATCGTTTTACTTCCACCTGTTTCCTTTGAAGAGTTTGCACAATACAAAAACCTGTCGACTATTTGAGTCCAAGTTCCAAAACCAAGTACTACTTCTGGTTTGGTAGAGTTCATTGACGTATAAATAGAACCTATAGGATATACTGTTTGAAGTATTTCTGTCTTTAACGTTTGAAGCTCTGTTTTGTCTGCTTTTTTATCTAACTCATCGTTAACATATGTTTTGTCAGCTTTGTTGTCATATAAATCTTGAGCAGTGAATTTAACTTTGTTTTCATCCTCCATGACAAAAACATTTCTACATCTAGTGTATTTCATCGTTGTTATGTCTTCATCCGATGTTAAACCTTGTGGAAAGTTAGGAGGTTTCCAATTTAATACATCCCCACCAGTTCCATCAGGTTCTTCAACCGTTCCTGCAATATTTTCTATACCAACAGTTGCGAAGAAATCGTGTGTATGTCCAACGTCACTTTTCCTGTTTAAGGTTTCTTGTAAGTTTGTAATATTTGCAATGGTATGTGTATGAGTCTTTTTAGAATATTCTTTGTCAGCTCTTGTCACTTCACTTGACATTTTATTGTCAACATATGTTTTATCCGCTTTGTCATCTAACATTTCTTGAAGTTCATCTACGTCATAGATGTTATGTGTATGATGTTTTTGTGGGTATGTTCTATCTGTCCATGCGAGAATATAGTCTCTTGTTGCATCTACATACTCTTTGTCAGCTTTGTTGTCAATATCTGCCTTCAAAAGAAGTTCATCTATAGGTTTCTCGTTTAAAGTTCTTTTTGTTGGATTTATAAAACAGTATGGTTCTTACTGTCTTGAAACAGAAACTCGTCTGTCAATGGGTTTATCGTCAGTTTTAAGTTTCCTTCTTTCAATGACTCAGATATCTTAGAATAGTTTGAAAAGTTTGTTGTGTTCTTATTTAGAGCTTGCAAAATGAGTTGTCGGTTGTGTTGTATTTCTCTCATAGACGCTGTTTCATTTGACATTTTTATTCTAGATAAAATATGCTTCCAATAGAAAAAGAAAATTCAAGAGTTGCTACAACTAAACCATTAGATGAACTTTTTACTAATGTCGGTCAAAAGTTTGAGACAGAGACCGTAAAGCATGAAGGCTATCGTTTTGACTACCCATTAAGATGGCTAAGAGACCCATCTGTCACAAAAGCTATTGGCTTTCGTAGAATGAAGTTTGTGTCTGTAGAAGATAAAAGTTTTCCATTTATTGTAAGGTTTCATATAGATTATATATCTGAAGGGAAACGAAAAATGTGGGAAGAAATTGAGCTAATACAAGTTGACCTTTCATCTTCTCTACAGACTGCGTTAAAAAATATAGAAGATAAAATAAATTCATGTTATGCAAAATATGCTGATGAATATGCAAATACCGAGAGCACACTTTATGTGAGAATTGTATATGACAAACAAAATTCACAAGTGTCATTTCAAATCTACGAAGACAATCCAAAGAAAGACGAACAAATATATACAGAATTCACTGCAATGTCATGGTATTATTTGCAAAGAATGTTAAATCAGAAAGTCGAACTTCCTTTAGCAAATATTTACAGTCGATATGCAAGAGATGAACCATATTTATTTAAAGATGTTTTCGACCCAGCTGCTATTATTGTTCATGCTTCATTTTCTGGCGCCCAAAACTCTTTCTTATGCTTGGCAAATGACTTTTACGAAAAACCTACAAAGTTATATGAGCCGCCGAGTGGAAGTATTTCAGACTTTCAAGTATGGTTTACTACAGATGGAAGAAAAAGAATAATTCCATTATACCATGCGTTTTACTTAGAACTTAGTTTCATATACAACTACTATCGAACGGTAAAAATATAATTTTTTAATACGGTTGAGGTGTTGGATTTGGTTGCCAACTAGACTGTGGTGCAGGTTCAGGCTGTTGTATAACAGGAGCTTGTTCTTCTGGTTCAGGGTCTTTAGGTATAATACCAACGAACTGACCTACTCTTTTACCAATATTTTTGACACCGTTCCATACTCCTCTTCCGACAGATTTTATTCCATTCCATATACCTCTTCCAACATTTCGAAAGAAGTTTCCAATACTACTGAAGAAACCCATTTTACTATATGTAAAAATCTAATGTCCGCCTAGTCTCTTACGTTTCCTGTTGAGTTCCATAGCATTCTTTAACTGGAGCTCATACATTCTGTTTCTCCTCTGGTAAAACATATTCTGGGTCAACTCCTGTGTTCGCGTCATCTGCATAAAGTTGTTTATATCCCACTTCAGGGTTTGTATAAAACTCTTTCCATCTCATATTTGCATACCATGGTGGCAAACCTAACGCAGCGTCATTTGACATGGCAGTTTGCATTTGTACATCTGTTGGCACTTGACCATAGTTTGCCATTGCAGTTTGTATTCTAACTTCATTTGGAATATTCTCTGGGTTTGGTTGTCCAGGTTGCTGTGCATTCGCTAAGTTCTGTGCGTCCATTTAATATTAGATAAAAATATCTCTTACGAGTACATATACTGGACATTTGCAGGCATTGGTTCATCTTCATATTCTCTGTACTTTTCTGCCACGTCAAAGAAATAAATGACACAATGGAAAAAACCTAAAACAAGTAGTCCTATTTCAAACCACATTTACTTACCAATAAAATTTCTTTATTGTGACACTTTCTCCAGTTTATAGGACCTCTCTCATATTCTATCTTGTCATATATAAACTCATAGTCATGTATGTCCTCTAACCATCTCATAACGGTTTCCAAACCACTTTTATCGGATGTAAAGTAAAAGCATGGATGGTTATGTAAAACGTCTAAAGTTTCTAAAGAGTCTCTCAAAGTCCAGTCTACTTGGTATTGAAAATCCCATGTGTTATAGAACGGCGGGTCCACTATAAGAAAACATTTTCCTTGTCTTTATATTTTTCATACAACTCTGTCCAATGACATCTCACAAACTCTATACCCTCAATATATTTTTCTATGTCCTCTTTGAAAACATTTGTATAGTTAAGATATAAAACTTTTGACATAAGTGTTTCAATGTCATGAACTCTTATAGAACCACTATATAATAGTCTAGCAGATATACTATCCCAGTCTATATATTCTGCTTTTTTCAAAACCTCTCTCACAATATTTTTCTTATCTAATGGTATACGTTCCATCTTACCTATAGGTATCTTTTCTTTTAACTCTTTCAATATATTGTTTGTGTCTGGTATATGTTTGAGACGGTCCATATAGTTGTCGAAGTCATTGCATATAATCTTTGAGTCTGGGAATATTGTATGACATAAATGGGATATATAGAAACTTCCACCGAACAAATCTACAAATGTTAGACCATTCGGTAGTTTCTTAAGTTCTCTCAATATAATATCTTTACATCTACTCTTATTTCCAAAGAACGGTAACGGTGGTTTTGTAAAATTCATTTATATATAATAATAAAAATGTTTTTACCCGAAAAGTGACAGAAAAGTGACAAAACATGAAAACATATATAATTTGTGAAAAGCGACACATTATATAATGTTTTCGACCCAGAAGAAGGCTTCTTCCCAGAAGCAATGGAGGAAGAAGAAGAGTCCTCCGAATAAAAACTTCATTTATACTAAACATCAACATCAGGGCTAGAAGGCACGAAGTGCCTGGAAGCCCCACTACCTTTTTTTTTTTTTTTTTTTTTTTTTTTTATTTAGAAGTTAAATGAAGTTAATTATAAAAAATGAATTACATTTTTCTAAAGAATATCAGTTCTAGAGATTCTTCTTTTAAAAATGCATTGTTTTGTGTGTTTGGAAGGGTAATGACAAATATAACAATTCTTTAAAAAAACAAAATATTGTTAATAATAAAAATATAAGAGCTTTGGAAGTATAAAAAGTTAAAATGGAATTGGGGTTGGTTGTGTACCTGCATTTAATTTCTTCTTTATATGATTATATTTGAAACGACATTGAACATCAGTTCTATTTCCGAATTGAGCAGCCACTCTTGTCCAGGCTTTATTTCCATACTGCTCAACTACTTGGAGAAGTTTCTCCTCTTCTTCTTTGCTCCAATTGGATTTTGAAATTCTTGGATCAATAACTCTGTGAAATCTTTGTGAGCATTGTGCCTTTGTTCTACCATTTCCAACAAATGTAGCAACAGCAGCCCAATTAGAATTACCTTGTTCATGAACAGCTTGTAATAATCTTTCATCCTCTTCTGGAGTCCAAGGAGTTGACCTCTGCCTTGTTCCAGATGCTTTTCCGTCGCGAAGGGCAGCTGCCGAATATAATTCTTGTGCCTTTTGATGTAAAAATTTTGGATCATAATAATTGGCTGCATTTCGTGCCATTGCATCATCTGCTGGATCTGGAAGCTCGTGCTTGAATTGGTCACCTTCTAATGGATTATTATCCATTTCAAATTCTACACCAAACAAAGATGTTCAAATAATGGCGGGATTTTTCTAAAAACAGAAAAATTAACGTTCATGTATCAAAATTTTTATACAAAGAATAATAAATATGTAAATGAATTTTTGAAAATTTTGATTGAAAGCATCCTTTCAAAAAATATTTCTAATATCCTTCATTCACGATGATTGATTTGTTTTCATTCAGTGTAAAGATAATAATTATACACATGAGTCCATATTGACGCATGTAGCTATCGGAAGATTTAACCCACTTAAACTATTCCATATATTGAATTCACTATTACAATTAATAGGGAATTCAGATGGAGTATACCTAAAACTTTCCAGATGAGTATACCTATCTTTCGTTAATTCAAAATAAAGAGCAATTTGTTCATGCATGTAAAAAACAAATTCATTAATAAAAGCGTGTAAAATACAGATAATTAAATTAATATTTTTATTAATATTATTAGGGGAGATTTATAAATATGAGTGATAAAAATTCTGTATTTCGAATTTTAAATTATGAAAAACAAATAAAAATACACGAAGTATAGGAATTACTGATACTTATTCATGAAATCGTTTTGGAACTTTGTCAGGCGCTCGATCATCTCATCCATCTGCTCGGCTTCTGGTAAGAATGTTGTTCTAAAGTGATGAGTACCTGGAACTTGACCGAAACCAGATCCTGGAACGACAGCAATTCCTGTCTGCTCCAGAAGCTGAAGAGACCAGAACATATCTGGCGATACATGCTTTCCATTAACTCTGAAAGATTTTGCAGCTTCTAGAGCTTTGAGAGGAAGATGGATTGAAGGGAAGAGATACATTGCGCCGTCAGCTGGTTGAGACTCAAGTCCTGGAAGAGAGTTTATACAATTCAACAATCTTTGTGACTTATTCTTAAGATTTGTAAGTTCGGTGTCTCTCTCGTGGTCCCATTGCTTACGGCATTCAGGGGATTCTGGTGGATGACACATGATGTCAAGAATGACTTGACCAACAGTATTTGGACAAAGTTGGATTGAAGCCATCTTATAGAATTGAGCTTTAACATCATCTGGGATGTGGTAGAGTTCCATGTAGCCTGCTCTGTGACCACACTCTCCCATGAAGCCTTTGGAAATAGAGTTAAGGGAAATGAGTTGAACAGAAGACTTCATTTCAGAAGCAACTTTCTTGAACGAAATGAAAGACTTCTCTGGATTGTATGTATTGAATTGATAAACTTCATCAGCAATGAGAAGAATATTGTTTTGTTCGCAGAATTCAATAACATCACGCATTTGTTGAGCGGTTAATACAGAACCTGTTGGATTACCCGGGTTAATAACAACAATTGCCTTTATATCAACACCTGATTTTGAGGCAACAGTGTATGATTCATTAAGTTCTTCAAGATCGAGACTCCACCTAGAAGATTCCTTCAAATAGTATGGAACAACACGGCCGTTCTTAAGAGCAATCTCTGCTGTGTAGAGAGGATACTGTGGGAATGGAATCATAATACCGACGTTTGGTTTGGCGATAATCATATTCAAAATTGTCGTAACAGCAGAACTTGCACCAGTTGTAATGAAAATTTTATCCGGATGTGCTGGGATACCGTCATCACGATTCTTGATATATTCTGCAATGTGCTCTCTGACGAAATCCAAACCCTGAGAATGAGTGTAAGCTCCTAAACCAGCTGGAAAATGTTTAAATACCTGTGCTGCTCTGTGGCGAGCTTCCTCAGGGATTTCCTTGATATTTAAGAGGTCTGGGTTCTCAATGCATGAAATAACTTGTCTTGGAAAAGTGATGGCCTTCTTTCCGACAACAAAAGGATTACCAATGTTGCACGAAATGATATTCTTGAATGGAAGCTTTTCCCCTGATTGGAGTTTCTTCCGAAGGATGTCTGCACGAATCGCCAGTTCACCTCTGACAGCATACTCAGCTTTGATGACCTGCGGATTGAGAGTCGCCATAGAGAGAGCTGAATTGAGCTTGCCATAATTATATGAATTAGATGAAGATCGAACGTTCTTGCTCTGAAGAGACATGGTTAAAAATGAAGTTAATTCGAAGTTGAATTCTACCTCAATATTTGAATAGGTAAAAGACCGATCATTAATTTAAAATAAAATATTCAATAGATGATTGACCAAACAATTTGGTATTAATTGCTGAAAATTTATTAGCAAGAACATGGTACAAAATATGTGATAATTTGTAAACTTGGTTAATTCAATTTATGAATAATGGAGTTCAAAAGAAAATTCAGTCATTAAGCTGAAAAATTGTACACTTATAGAAAATTTGTTATTAAAAGGAGAAAACTTTAGTCAGAAAAGTGACATCACTCTATTCAATTTGATTATCACAATTTCATGATATTGTTAAAATAGCATTCATAAAGATATGAATTTAAGAAAATTGCAAAACAGAATTATTTTTAAAATAAAATTTTCATGAAAAAAATTGAAGCAAACCAGTGAATTATTTATGAGCTAAACCGTTTGTCCCATTCAAAAGTTGAAATTGTATTTTATAAATAAAAATAAATATTTTAGCATTTTATTTTAAATAGTATATATTAAAAATTTTCCGAGATGTCACTTTTGGAATTTAACCAAAATAAAATCTCACAGTTACCTGAACAATATGTTATTCAATGATCGAATGTCTTAAAATACTTTGGAATTAAATAAGCATCTATTTATAATCGCTAAACCTCTGAATTATAAAAAATGAATGCAAATCTACGATAATTCAATATTATCACTCAAACAATAGAACTATCTGATAGCAATATAATTCTTTTAGTATTAATATTTAAGCTGTCTGAGTTATTAGATCAAAATACAGAGGAAAATGAGCTATGGAGTTGATAAAATATATGTTTGTATATACTTTAATAATTAGAACACACCACTTTGTTCATACTTCAATATTTTGGGAATTCAAAAATATTCAATTTCAGAGTCTCAATAGGAAGATAAAATATGATTCATGAATTCAACAAAAAACAAAGAGGTGGAAGTTAATTTAAACTCTATTCATGATATCAGTCTTCTTATCATGCACTCTCCTTGATAATTGAGAGAATCTCACTGAAAAAATTGAATTTATGACAATATTTGTGAAAATAGTTTTACCTTCTTCTTTAATTCATTATATGATTAAACAACGAATTTAACAATTGTATTTACAATATTCGTTATAAATCTTTTTCGATAAAAAATAATTAGCAATCGCATATCAGTAATTATTGTGATAATGGATAATAAAAATTGAAAACTCTTGCAGAAATTTCGGAAATTTATTGGCTACATTAATACACAAATGTTCAAAAGACCATTGCCAGCATCAGATTTGTCAAAAATTTTGAGGAAAAAAATTATTGACAAAAATAATAAATATTTGAATGGAAAACGAAGAAACTCCTCTCATCAGCAACGTAGATCCTCACGATATGGATATTTGTGTCACTGCTGTATTTCCTGATGGTACTAAGAAAGTCTACAACTTCGATAATAACGACACAGTTGATCATATGATGAAGCTGATCAAAAACGATCCATCAATTCAAATACCTTCCGGTCGAAATTTATGCATTATGTATCAAGCCAAAATGCTAAAAGACTCACAAAAATTTGCAGAAATTTCTGATCTACCAGCTTTTTCTGTTATTATTATGTTCAGAATGAATCAGGCAGACATACATCTTGATTCCTCAAATAATACAACAGAGCTGCGTGGTTTCGATCGTCTTACAAGGATGAATTACACTCAAGAACAAATCGAAGAAATCAGGCAGCACTTCCACGAAATGAGAGGTGGCCTAGATGATGCAGATGAGCAGAAATATGAAGCTGAAGAAGAATGGTTACCTGTCATATTCAATTGCGATAATCCTCTTGATGCCTTTGAAACACTGGACGCTCAAAGACCTAGGAGGAGACGTCATCATACTCACGAGCAACGAGTCGAAACAGTGGATCAAGTATCTCCTTCTGCCATTTCTACCTTTATTTTCGCAGTGGCAATTGGAATTATTTTTGGACCTCTTTCATTGATTTGCTTCTTCTTTTCTTTTCAAGACCTACCAGGCTTTATTGGAATCATTTCTGGTGCCTTAATTCATTTCTTATTGTTCGCATTACATGACTTTAAGTACTTTTGATTGGTAATATTAATAGGACATGTCATATCGCCAAATATTTTCTGTAATTAATTTATATTTTTGTATTCTTATATTAAAAACTTGATTGTTTTCGAGTAATATATTCTTATTGCTTTGTGTAGAAGTGATTTAATAATAAATATCGATAGATGGTTTTTGTTTTATGATAATTTTTCATTTGAGTATATTAATATTATTCAATTCATAAAATTAAATGCATCCATAGTTTTTCTACACATATCTAATACTTTTTATAGAATAAATAAGGTCCTTTTTTCATTTAAGGTACCCTATTCAAAAAATGAAAGGGGGTCCCTCACAAAATTGAAGGGGTACCATTCAAATTCTATCGAAATAGTACCTTACCGTACCTTGAATAACCGGCGAACCATTCAATTGGTCATAGACCAATTTGAGATACCCTTTTCAGAGGAATCTAAAATGTTGTTTATATGGTTATTTATATATTATTTAATCATTTTCTTAAATAAAAATCATAAGTTCTCAATTTTTCTTCATAACGATTCTTATAAATTTTAATGTTTTTACTATGAGTGCTAAATATTATTAATTACTAAATGATTTTAAAAAGAAAAAACATGTTTTTACTTTGTACGTTAACATACGTTAATATCACTTCGGCTATGGATAGAGGCCAACAGCGCCTTATTAATGAGAAAAACATTAGCCTCTTATCAATGAGATGGAAGTGTATTCGTGGATTACAATTGTGAATTCAGATACACTTCCATCTCAAAAAATGCAATCAAATTTGTATTGAATTGCATTTTTTGAATACATGCTATTGGCAGTTGGGTTTTTAGTGCATTTATATTACATTGGTACTAAGGCTTTTGGAAAATTTACAAAATAAATTTAATATTTTGTAAATGTTATCGGTTCTTACGCTTTTGGAAGGAGGGATGGTATTTTTGGAGCATTTATATTACATTGGTACTAAGGCTTTTGGAAAATTTACAAAATAAATTTAATATTTTGTAAATGTTATCGGTTCTTACGCTTTTGGAAGGAGGGATGGTATTTTTGGAGCATTTATATTACATTGGTACTAAGGCTTTTGGAAAATTTACAAAATAAATTTAATATTTTGTAAATGTTATCGGTTCTTACGCTTTTGGAAGGAGGGATGGTATTGTTGTAAACAGAAATTCATCAAAAGTGACACCTCAGAAAAGCTAAAATATTGAATTTTTGGAACTTTTGATAGAGCACGTTTTTAAATATTAATTAAAGTAAATGTATATTTTGTAAAGATTCTTTTTAATAAAAAAATAAAATTTTGAAGAAGAACACAAAATCTTCTGAAAAATAATATCACATAAACTCATATTATTTTCTAATATATAACTATTTTATATAAAAATCAAATTCAATGATCTTAAAAGCGAAGGATAAACCTCAAAATTTACGAATATAATGAGTGGGAATATAATGCTTATCTATCATAAAACCATATGAAATATCAATTTTTGCTTTACGCCTAATTTTTGACGACAATTAGCAAAAAATGTTAAATGTTAACACTCAGTCCATTTGAATATGAAAAATAAAATTGACTTCGATTAAATGTTTTTATTTATCATGCAATTCTTCTTGCGACCAAAGATTTGAATAAAACTTAAAAAAATAAGATAGCTTAAAAAATAATATACGGTAGTGTTTACTAATAGATGAATAGTATATAAATTCTATTAAAATGGATTTGATCCAAAAAAATATAAAACCAAAAATAATTGTTATAATTTAAGGATACCCTTACATTGCGTAGTTAGAAAGAGAATATGATATTGTCATGATTGCTAAAGTTTTAGGCTCCAGAAATGAATATACATCAAACTGAAACAATTGATAAATTGAATGAACTTTTGAGAGGTTCTCAAATAAAAAAAATTATCTAATTTTTTACAATATTACTATTATTTTATCCACATATGTATATATAGTAATTTGAGAAAACATTTAGGAAAAAATAAGTTTAATAAAAATCTGAATTTTACTTGTTGTGGGATTGTTATTAATTGACACTCCAGACGTATTACTAATAGTTATGCGTATGCAATTAAAGTATTTCTGATGGACAAAATGTGAGATTTATATCAGATAATTCATTTCTACTATTAAGTTATTCATTTATGAGTTTGCACTTATTCGCACTAAATAAATAACTATTAAAAATTGTTTTAATTAATTGACACCATATAATAGAGTGAATTTTGTTTGATCAAACAACAATAGATGATAGATATAAAGCCAAGAAACTTGCTATTAATATGCTCTACTTGCTATTTCAATGTAAGTATGATATTTTCTAAATGTTTCGTTCAGATAACTTAGATATATTAGTCAAAATTTGAAATTTTAATAGCACATATATTAAAAATAATTATTATTCATAAAAGATTAATGAAATAGTAAAAAAATCAATCAAATTATAAAAATACAACATTTAGAAGAATTCTTATTATCCTTCAAAAAGTCAGTATTTCTGCTGTAATTTTCTACAACATTGTAGTTATTGCACTTTGTCTATGGATTTGTATATATGTTATATATAAATTATATATCTAAACTGCCATAAGTGCAATTTTTATATAAATTGTTTATTTCTTTAACAATTTCATATGAAATATGCTTTTTTAAGCGTATCAAAGCTGTGTTCTTAATGTGCATGGATATATCAAGAAAAATGTCGAAAAAAATGTGAATTCACAAATTCACTGAATTTTCGCCGTTTTTTGAATTTTGCTACAGCACTAATATTAAATAATACTAAAATCTTCTGTCTTTGTAAAAGAATAAATTCTGACAAAAAGTGCTCGTTTAAATTTAATGATCATCTGTATGACTAAGTGGTAAAAAGTGTTTATGACCAAAAAGGGTTACATGCTTAGTCTATTTTTCTGACAGGATACTCTAGATTTACATGATCTCTATTTCATATCTCCGTTTTTAGATTCTTCGACAGATTTTATGATAGAAAACCAAGATTAACAAATTTCCGGCATGTTAATGAAGAAATCTGCAGCTACCCTCAATATTATTTCAATAATCAGTATCGTTTCTCTTACAATTTATTTTTTCTCAATAATTTAACAAGAAATAACAATACACACTTGGTTTTACGTATAAAAGCTAAGTGTCGAACTTAATCAACTTTACTTACTTAGCAAATGAATATTTTTGTGGTTGCGAGTTCTGAATGCTGAAGTTTTAGATTTCTCTATAAATGATATCATTGCACTTACAATGTTGTTCCAGCCTATCGCATAAATCATAGAAAATCCAAAAAAAAATAATATAAAGAAAATTCATGTCATGAAGTTCAAAAAATACCGTGTAACATTAAAATTTGTTATGCATAATACATTTTAGCTATTATTGATTTTTTTAATTTTCGAGAAATTGAATGGTGAGTCCGATAGAGAAATTTTTAAAAATCCTAGTGCCTCATAGAAGTAATTTCCCTCGTCTCCCATACTTCCAAATATATGCATATGACATAAACTTTTATGCATTACACAAGTGGCCAATAATATCTATAGAGTAAAAAATTAGAAATTTAATTTTTTTATATGATAGTTATATTTCAGATTTGCGAGCGTAACTTTTTTCTCCATGGCATACTTGTTTTAAGAGCAAATGATCAAAATCGTCCTTCAATTATTGAAGGAGCTGATATCTTTTGAAAATTGAATTGAAAGGGTATTCAATTTTCAAATTTCCTCTCAATTTTGGAAACATATCAACTCTATGAATTAACAAGTATGTGCCTTCACAGTTTATCAGTCATATAAGGTGCTTATAAAGAAAAAGTTACGCTCGCAAAATATGTTTTTATATAGATTTCACATAAAATAATTATGTAATTTCTAAAAAGAATATTTTTGTTCTTGAATATTAAAGTGTATTGTAGTTTAAAAAGTTTTAAATATGTTGCTAAAATTTCAGGTTTATAGCTCATGTCTAGCATGACTTCTTCGTATGCGCAAAAAATCTGACACGTAAGGGTATCCTTAAATGAAGAAGTAATTTAAAACGATTTTATTTATGATCAAATTTTATATATTTTTTTGGATCAAATCCATTTTAATAGAATTTATATACTATTCATCTATTAGTAAACACTACCGTATATTATTTTTTAAGCTATCTTATTTTTTTAAGTTTTATTCAAATCTTTGGTCGCAAGAAGAATTGCATGATAAATAAAAACATTTAATCGAAGTCAATTTTATTTTTCATATTCAAATGGACTGAGTGTTAACATTTAACATTTTTTGCTAATTGTCGTCAAAAATTAGGCGTAAAGCAAAAATTGATATTTCATATGGTTTTATGATAGATAAGCATTATATTCCCACTCATTATATTCGTAAATTTTGAGGTTTATCCTTCGCTTTTAAGATCATTGAATTTGATTTTTATATAAAATAGTTATATATTAGAAAATAATATGAGTTTATGTGATATTATTTTTCAGAAGATTTCATTCTATATGCCTATGAAAAGTACTCTCAAAACTAACTTTTTCCTAATTATAATTAAATCTAGAATATTGTATTATGCAAAAAAAAAAAAAAAAAGGTATTGGGGCTTCCAGGGCTGCGCCCCTCTAGCCCCCTGAAGATGTTTAGTATAACACCAGGTCCCTCGGTCCCTCGGTTAAACGAACTTCTCTGAAAAAATGAGACAACATGACATTTTGACAACAGTCCAGGAAGTCTTAACAAGATAGGATGGTTATTTTACAAAACCGACAAGACCTTAACCGAGTAGTTTTCATGTTTTGTCACTTTTCTGTCACTTTTCAGGGAAAAAACATTTTTATTAAATATAAAATGAATTTTACAAAACCACCGTTACCCTTCTTTGGAAATAAGAGTAGATGTAAAGATATTCTATTGAGAGAACTTAAGAAACTACCGAATGGTCTAACATTTGTAGATTTGTTCGGTGGAAGTTTCTATATATCTCATTTG